AGGAGCAAGCATTATACAAGGAAGCATGGAGTTAAAGGGGAAGAAGGAGCTGGGGGGGGGTAATAGAAGACAGGTACTATTAAGAGGGTAGTGGGGAAAACGGGTACCTTAACTGGGGAGGGAGGATGAAGGGTTAGACAGGGATGGAGAGAGAGGAGAGATAAATAATCTTAGGTGCTGTGAAAAACTGGAGGTAATGTATTAGTTCAAAAGTCTACTGAGAAATACATATACAAAATATACATGAGAACATGTGTGTTTCTTCAAGGCTATATAAGAAACACAGTGCCAGACAGAAGAAAACCTCCTTTGAGGTATTTGTTTGGGTAGTCCAAGAGACTTCCAAAATAATCCAGGCTATTTCCACAGCCCTTGATTATGTGCCAGATCTTGAAGCTAAGACCCTGTGGCAGTACAAAAAAAAGCAGGCCATATTTTGGACACTGGACTTGGAGCAATGAAGCTGGTACTGACCAGGAAGTCTCCTCCCTGAAGACTGGCTCTCATAGTATTAGAGGATATTATGCGGCTAAGGAGAAAGTCCGTCAAGGGTCCAGCCCCAGTATAAAGCCTAATAAGCACAACAATGACCAGCATAGCAAAATATCTCTATTGGTGCAGTAGTGGAACTTTTATCTTGGGGGTAATCGACAAGCTATCTTATTGGACTTAAAGCCCTCTCAATGGGAGAGAATTCATATATGGTACTGTAAACATAGCCAAATATACATAACTGGAGTGGTCATAGATCACTCAAGCTGCGGCCAGCCTGCTCGGGTTTCTTTTTTATTTTTTATTTTTTTTTTCACTTTCTGACCAAGTGTATTCTTTTCAAAAATAAAAAGGGGGAGAGGGAAGCTGCATGTTTTTTAAAAATTGAAATTATTTAGGGATAAAACACTAACTCTAGTGCCTTTAACGGGCAATAGCAACTTTTTTCCTCCGAAGTCAAACACCATCCCCAGCTGAGCCTTTGTGCTACAAGCTTTTCAGGAGATGTTACCTAAACTTTATTAAAAGAAAAGAATAAGTTTAAATATAGACACTGGACTAGCCCAGTCTGTATTTTCAAGTCCACATTCTTCATCTGAAGCTTTGCATCAGGGAACCCCCTGAGTCTGCATGTTTTCAAGTTCACAGTACATGGAACCAGTTTTTCTTTTTAATTTTTTCCTCACTCAGAGCAGCCATATACAGTGACCGTTGACGCCGGAACCTCGGGCGGGGCCTTTTCCTATGAGGCCTGGCCAGAGCTGCCCAAGGCTTCTTCTCAATGAGAATCGATGCTGTCATGCTCTATGGATGGGAAAAAAAGCAAGAAAATAAAAGCACCTGGTACAGGTTTCATGAGATCCATTTGGATTCACTATGTTCCAAACCCACTGCTGAATGCCATTTGTCCACTTTGTGTGTTGAACAGTTTGTGGCCTTGGAGTTGGTCTCAATTTGAAGAACTGTTATTGGATGCCCCAGAGGTTGATGCAATAGCAGCTCCGGCAGGGCTACTCGTGGAGACTGACTTTCGGATATGAGGCAGCAAGTAGGGGTCACAGGCCAGCTGCTGAACATCGATGCGGTCCTCCTTTCGATAGGCCAAGCATCGCCGGATAAATGCCTTTGCTTCAGGTGTTACTACTGGCTTTGGCGGGAACTGTACTTCAGTAGCTTTAAGAATAGTATTCTCTTGGAGAATATCTTGCTGGGACTGGTTATGGCCAAAAGGCTTCCTTCCATAAAAACACTGGTAGAAGATCACACCCACTGACCAGACGTCAACCTTATTTGAGATCTTTGGCGGTTCTTTCCCAACCACAAAACACTCTGGTGGTAAATACCAATAAGTACCAGCACCTTGTGACGTTAGCTCCATGCCATCCACTGAATTGTAGCTATCATCATCCATGATCTTGGAAAGGCCAAAATCTGTAATTTTTATCTCTCCACATGCTGTACCATTTACTAAAAGGATATTACCTGGTTTGAGGTCATAGTGTATGATAGGAGGTTTTATTTCATTTAAGTACTTTAAAGCATTTACAATCTGCATAATAATGGATCGGGCCTCTTTCTCCGACATTAATTTGTGCTGTTTCAGGTAGAAGTCCAGATCATTTCCTTCACAGTACTCTAATACTGTACAAAACGAGTCAGTGTCCAGTGAAAAGTAATCATATAGCTTAACTATTCTGGGATGATCCAGTTCTTTGTGAATCCGGTATTCCCTACATGCATGCTTGTGGTAATTCTCCTTTTTCTTGTCTCTCCAGTTTTTATTTAACTGGTGAATTTTCACAGCTCCCTACATGCATGCTTGTGGTTAATTCTCCTTTTTCTCGTCTCTCCAGTTTTTATTTAACTGGTGAATTTTCATAGCTACATATCTCTGCTCTGTTAAATCAAATGCCTTGTAAACTTCACTGAAACCACCTCTACCCAACAAATATCTGTCATTCAGCGTTGGATGATCTTTAAATTGTGAATTATCTTCATTATGTATCCTTTTTAATTCCCTGATATGTAGACATGACCTGAAAAGAAATCTTTAACTCTAGGGACCCTGTAATTTATAGTTGTTTCCAGGGGTATTCAGAAGACGTTTGTATTTGGGGGTGGAGGTGGTATTTTATTTTACATCAATAAAGAACATACGTTTCATTTTCAGCTCCATTGGTCTTGCTTTTCCGCTGTTTCTGCTCATTGGTTGCTGGAGGGGCCTGACCCATGGCAGGAGGCTTCCGCTTTGCTAACATTTTCCGCTGTCTTTCTATCTCTTCTCTCTGTGAATTTATCCTTTCCTGTTGCTTGATAAGGTTTTGGAAAGCATAACCATCTGTCCATTGTTCAGTAAAGGAGGCTCCATGCCGGACAGCGGTCCTGCATGCTCTTGTCTCTACATGCCATCTTCTCTTGTTTTGACTTTTCTATAAGGAGCTTCTTACTCATCGGGACACATCTGTTTAATCGTTCCTTGTATTTATTTCTCTAACATCTTTTGCTGTTCATCAATCTGCCGTCTCAAGTCACAAGGGGCTCTTAATAAATCATCTATTCTTCCTTCCTTCTTCTCTAAGTCGGAATTCTTACTGTTTTCTAGTGCAGATATCTTTTCTATTGTGAGGTCAGACTGGGTCTGTCTGTGCTGGATGGAGATCTGTTTTTGTGAGCTGCAAGAATGTTCTGTGTTGCCAGAACCCGTAGAAGAGGGACTGTTTTGTTGAGCCGAAACAAAAGTGAAGCAAAGGCCGGCTCCCCGTTGTGCTAACTGCTCTGTATCATATCTGAGAAATAGCCAGACATGGTGACATACAGGTTGTAAATAAAATAATAAATTTTAAAACATGAAAACATTATACAAAGCTGGGTGTGCTGACTCACACATATAATCCCAGTACTTAAGAGGCTACCTCAGTGGGGCTAGAGAGATGGCTCGACCTGGGTTCGATTCCCAGCACCCACATGGCAGCTAACAACTTCCTGTAACTCCAGTTCCAGGGGATCTGACAGCCTCTTCTGTCCTCCGCAGGCATTGCATGACATGGGTGCACTTACCTACATGCAGGCAATACACACATACACATAAAAAAACAAAAAATCCAAAAACCTCCTAGCCTGGCATGGTGGCTCACACCTTTAAAAATCCCAGTACTTGGGAGGCAGAGACAGGAGGATCTCTGGTCTATACATAGTGAGTTCCAGACCAGCTGGGGCTACAGGGAGACCCTGTCTCAAAAAAGACAAAAAAACCCAAAACAAAACAAAACCAACCAACCTCCTAATTCCTAATACCTACACCTTGTACTAACCCCTTAGGGAGAAACAAAGGTATAGAGGTCATAGTATACAGAATATTCCAGAAGTTTGCAATCTTCAGTCCACACAGTAGAGACAGTACCAAGTATAGTGGACTACAAATCAGCAGTCATCACTCACCAGTGAAAAGCAAGGAAGGACGCTTTATTTATAGCCGGGCTGTCCCTGGACTCCAGGTGAGTGCTCAGAGAACAGCATCGACTCACAGCTGTGGTTAGTTTTTATAGACAAGTGCAGTGGTCAGAGTTTAATTTCCAAAAACAATCACAATCCCCTACCCGAGCTAAAGCAAACAAGCATGTTCACAGAAGCAGGTGTAAGCAATTCAGCAGCTGCCCTTGTTCTTGATCAAGACATTCTATGGTATTTGCGGTTATTAGGCTCCCTGATACTGTGCATTGTTTTTGGTTTCAAAGGTTGCAAGGAAAATAACAACTATAAAATTCACCTTATGTTTAACTATTAAGTTATTCAGAAACAGGAGGTTACTTTAAAATGGCGTTCCCTTGGTTTAGTTAGGGACCCTCACCACTTCACCAAGGGGTAATTGGGATATGGAAGGACAATTGGGTGTTCACTTTAGAATTGTTTTTCTTGACATATGTGTCGAATATTAAAAACATTACAAAATAAAATAGTATAATGACTTAATATTTCTAAAACTGTTATGCCATCCAGGTGCTCAGAGCTCACATTGTTCTTCCACTGTTACGTGAGTGGGGTTGTGACTTCTGAAAAGCTTGGTATGAAGGGGCTAGAGGATGTAGCTCCAATTTCCCTGAAGCAGAGCAGGAAGCTAAGTGAATAAAGGAGACTCAGCCACAAGGGCATTGTGGGAACTAGGAGGTCCTCCAGATGAGATGCCATCGGCCCGCAGCTTCGACTCTGGAGGTTGGACAAGGCTCCTTTGGGACATTACAGCTAAGATGTCTGCTCTGGGCACTACATAAGGCCCTGTCGAAGGACCCTGTCAAAGAATTCTCCAACCGTCTCATGACAGGGACTATCAGTGCCCTCATTTTACAGGTGAAAAACTACAGCTCAGAGAAGTTGAGTTGCTGGTCCCAGATCACACAGCTGGATTGAGAGCTGCACTCTTAACCAAACTTGACAGGTTGTACATACCAAAACCGAAGCATCTATCCAGGACCACTTGGGGCCTCCTACAGACACTCTTTTTTGTTGTTTGTCATTGTAGTTGTTTTGAGACAGAGTCCAACTATGTAGCCCTGGCTGGGCTGGAACTCACTCTGTAAACCAGGCTGGCCTGGAACTCATAAAGATCCACTTGACTCCGTCTCCCAAGCTCTAGGACTAAAGGTATGTACCACCACCACATCGGCTTTTCCACAGATACTCTTACTTGCGGCAGGGGTTATAATTCCTACAAACTATAAAAAACAGAGTGCACAGAAGTCCAGTATGATTTCTGACTGTCCAAGAGGCCGGCTGGGTTAAAATGCAGCTGACTAACATAATATTATATCTGGAGACTCTTAGCTTTTTTAGTTTTATTCATTTGGTTTTATAACACAGGCTCTTGAAATGGCCTGGAACTCACCATCCTCTTGCCTGTTTCCCAAGTACTGGGGTTACAGGCATGAACACAATGCCTGACTTGAGGGAGTTTTGATTTGGGGTTTTGGCCCGGTGGGCGTCGGGGGGGTTGTTTGCTTGATCTTTGCTTTTAGAGACAGGAGCTCCCTGTAGCCCCAGCTGACCTAGCACTCCCTTTGTAGAACAGACTGGCCACGTTCTCACAGAGATCTACTTGCTTCTGCCTACTGGGGTGCTGGGATTAAAGGCACGTACCAACCCCCACACTCCCCCTCCCCCCGCTGGCTTGAGGACTTTTAAAACTGTTCCACAGAGGTATAATTTGCATACTTTTAAGAGTCTTCCATGTACAGTGCTGACCCCTCACTGCCCAAATGTCCCACTTCCCATCCCATCATATTAGTCTTGCGTACTGTCTTTGCTTCCCTTCAGAAGCTATGCAAATGGCGTTGCTGGGCACCAGGGTTTGTATACGTTTAACTTTCTGAGAAAGTGTCAAACTAGAAAGTGGTTGCTTTGAGTTGGCAATATACCAGGGTCGGTCACAGGACTTTTTCTAATGTGTCAATTTCCACATTTCCTTTCTTCTTTGAAGCTAACACGTAAACATGTTTTTCAGGTTTACCCATTTCTGTAGAGAGGAAAATCACGGGATGCAGAAGTCAGGGACAAAACTCCCGGCCCAACCCCGGAAAGACCTGAGCTCCAGGTAGTGTGAAGGACCCGCGCCCCAGCCCCGCCTACTCCGCCCAGGGGGCGGGGCCGAGGGCGCGCGCTGGTCTCTGGTTGGCCCCGCCTTCTCTGGGCCGGATGCGTCAGAGGAGGGCAGAGCTAGTGGGTGGAGAGCTCCGCTCTGAAGTCCCGCCCACTCGACACCCGGCTCAGCTCCGGAAACGGGGCCTGGGCGGGGTGGGGAGGCGGGACGGGGAGGCGGGGCCTGGGAGGGGCGGGCCGAGCGCGCGGCCCCGGTCCCTCCCACCCGCGCCGGCGTGCGGGAACCCCCGGGTCCTCTGCACCCGCCGGCGCTCGCCGCACACCGTGGCCGGGGTGCTGGCTCTGCTGGTTCCCGCCGGCAGAGCGTGCGCCCGCCTCCGGCCCCGGGCCACCTGGGTGCTGGGCACCGCCGCCCGGTGCGCTCCGCCGCCCTTGGCCTTGGCCTCGCTCCGCCCTGGGCCAGACGCCCGGCTTCTGCGCACGGCCCGCGGGGACAGCCGCGACCGCATGGTAGGTCTCCCGCTCCCCCGGGACCCTACCCAGGCCGGGGCCAGCCCCAAGGGCAGCCTGGTCTGCAGCCGCGCGTACCCGGTCACCCTCGGGGGTCCCAGAGCCCCCAAATTCCTCAAGTCTAGGAAGGGTATGCCCAGTTAGCAGCCGGAGAAACCGAGGCTCCCGGGGGTTCGGCGCGCTGCGGGGGGCAGGGCCGCCAGCCGAGCCCGGGACGTGGTGTAGCCGGAGACTCGCCGGGGCCTGAACTTGGTGTGAACTTCGCATCGGGCCTCTGAGTTGTCCTTTCGGAAGTTCCGCTCAGGCCGGGGACTTCGCGGGTTGCAGGTGCAGCTAGCAGCGCTCCAAGGCGCCTGCCCCACCCGTGTGTACCTGGAAGAGCAGGCTCCCAGCACGCAGTCAGTTCATTAAGTTGAAAAGTAGCTTCCATCCGGCCACACAGCTCAGATGGGCTCTGGAGAAAACCGTGCAGTGGATCCAGAGAAATCCGACAGGAGCCTGGATCTGCGGGGAGGCCTTCCAGCTCCCGACTCTAGGTGTGGACGTGTGCGCCGGTGGCTAGGCCCCGTGACCTCGGTCCCTGAGCCCCGAGCCTGCATGCTGGCCTTTCAAGAGTCTGGAGGACCACAGCATGAATCAATCGGGCAGGGCTGGGCACTGCCTGGACTTCCGGTGGGTTTTCAGTAAGTAGCCAGGGGAATTGGGCCCTGTCCTTGGGTGCCTCCCACACAAACCGAGGAACTCCTGACCTCTGCTCTTCTTCCTGGCACCCAGGGCAGTGGCTTCATCTCTAATCCTGAACACAGGCTGTGGGTGCTCAGAATTTACTGGGCTGCCTCCTCCAGAGAGCCTTCCCTGACCACCAGTGATGCCCCCACCCCCTAGGCCTTCATCAGCCCCAGCCGGGCCTACACTGTTGGTGTATTTACAGCCAGGACCAGTCTGGTCCAGGATTTCTGTCTCAGCTCATGTGCTCAGTAGCCTTGATTTTAAAAGTAGCCTTGGATCACGTTACTGTGTCTCAGTTTGCGCATCTGTAAAATGAAATGTTAACAAGCCATCTCCCAGAAGGTGTGTAGCTGGGTCTGCTGGTCAGATCAATACCAGCATTGCTAGCTAAAGGGCCCAGGAACTGCCCTTTGGGATCAGAGCCTAACAGGAGGTTAGAACAAAAGGAAGTGGGGGAAGGGCCTGACCTAGGCCTCAGTCCAGCATCTACCCCACCCTCTCCCCACCCCACCCTCTGCTTTCACTGGGAGGCCAGCTGGGGTCTCCCAGTGTACCAGGAATTTAATTAAGTGTCTGTTGGCCTACCATAGGGCTCTACTGTGTCAGGGAGGATGAGATACCCCACACAAGAAGCCTACCGTGTATTATTATTTTTATTTTATATGTATGAGTGTATTGCTTGCACACCTGTCATACAATGCGCTTGGAGGTCAGAAGAGGGCATCTGGAGTAACTGGCGGTTGTTAGCCGCCATGTGAGTGCTGGGATCCAAATCTAGATCCTCTGCAAGAGCAGCCAGTGTTCTTAACCGTTGAGCCATCTCTCCAGCCCCTTTTCGTAACATGATTCAGGGTCTTATAAACCAGGTGAGCAGAGACCATTTGTGACAAAGGGCAAAGGAGGGAACTTCAGGAGTTGACTTGCTGGCTGAGGCCTCTCCTCTCCTGGTTCCAGCCTCTCTTATCTAAATTTGCAGTGTGCCTCCCACCAGCACCACCTGGCTTCCTCTCCATGCCCCCACTTGATGTGTCATTCCCCCGTATTTAACTCTTCCATCATCCTCTGCACCCTAAATCCCAGGCTCCTTTGGTGTTTGTTGGTTTGGTTCAGTGCTCTGTTCCCTACACTTGGAGCACCCTGGCCCAGAGAAGATGCAAGGGATGTAGTGCTGGGTTTGGGTCCCAGCCCTGACAGTTGACCACTGTCATCCTTGGTAAGTTATTCCACCTCTCTGAGCTTTGAAGATCCTCCTCCGTCAAGTGGGATGCCAGGAGTGCCTTTCGCACAGGGAGGCTGAGGATTGTGTGAGCTGGTATTTCCATGGCACTCAGAATGCGGACCGGTACAAAGTGAACAACACCATAGAGTGTTTACCAAATGGTTGCAAACGAGTGTCACTGCACAGTGTGACCCACCTTCCTGCCCCCTCTCCAATACAGCCTCCTCTGGTAGTTGCTGTAGCTGTTTTGAGACACTCTTACGTACCCCAGGCTGGCCTCAAGCTCAGTGATCCTGAGCTTCACCTCCCAAGTGCTGGGATTACAGGCTTATCCCACCAAGTCTGGTTTGAGCTGCAGCCCCAGCCTGAGCATCTGAGGTCGATGGTACACACCGAACGCTGGACAGAGGGCAGGTCAGAGTGCATTGCGTTGCATGTGTTTACAGCAATGCACCCTGAAGAAGGTGGCTTTGACTATTCCATGGAGGTCACACTTGCATAAATCCCTTTGTTTTCTTCACTTTAATCTTCTCAAGGACTAGGAAGAAAAATGCATGGTCCTTCATGTACCACAAGAGTGACCATTCCTAACAGGAGACACTTTTCCAGAACTTCGTGCCACTCACAGAGGAAGGAGTGCTGCCACCAGCCTCCTTTCCTGGCCAGCACGGCCCCCTCCCTCCCCACTCTCCTGTTGCAGTGCCAGCCCAGCCTGAGGCTCTGGCTCTTCCAGATAAGAAAGCCCCTCCCTCTTCTGAGCTGCAGATGGGACAGCTGCCAGAGCTGATAGGCCAGTCTGCAGACCCTTCCAGTGCCAGCACCTCTGCTGTTGTATTGGTGACAGTTGACACTTGGCCCAGCCAAGCTCAGTTGTGGCCCGTTCTCCATCCCATCTCCATCCGCAGACTGGCCCTAGCTGTCTCTGCTGAGGTCTCCTTTGTGACACCCTCTAGTTTGGCAGGCTTTCTGGCCTGAGAAGACGGCCAGACTGCCAGCTATTTAATAAGCAGCAGCTTCTGTGGACTGGAAGAAACAAATCCTTGGACTAGACAGACATTTCCTGTACCATTTCAGGAGGGCCTGGTTCAAAGCCTTTCAGAGCTGCTGTTTGATTAGGGCTTAAATGCTGCAGTGGAGGGACTCTTGGAGATGACTTTTGCATTTCCACCTGACTCGTCAAGCATACACCACACACACATGTGTTAGGCTCTGCTCGTGAGCACCTTACAACCTAACCCAGCAGGAGGAAGGGCCTGCCAGGCCAGTGTCCCAGGTGAACAAGGTTTTGCTCATAGTCACCTAGGTGGGAGATTGACAACAAAGCCCAGTGCCCAGGCCTCTCCCCACACCTGCAGAATGAGAGCTGGGCACCTAGATACAGATACGAAGCACACTCCAGGTCCCCCCTGCTCAGTAGTGTTTAAAATACAGGAAAGGGTCCAGCTGCAGGATCAGTAACCAGAGGCCACTGCCAGGACCTGCACAGCCACCCTGAAGACTGCATACATTCTTCTGGTAAAAGCACTCTGTGGAAGTTTATTTTTGTCTAACCCAAGTATAGTTTGGCTCTTTGTTGTCTGTCCCCGCTTTGCAGATGCAGTAGCTGATCAGTGCAAGTTAAGGCAGCCACATGCTGGTCGGGAATGAGCCTTCCCTTTGGGTATTTCAGATCTCAGGTGTCACTCTTGATCCTGGAGGTAGATACCATGGCTTCTTGGTGCTCTCATCGACTTTTCCCATTCTTGGTAGTGCAGACAAGGAATTGTGTCTCAGCTGGCAGACTCAGGTAGCCCAGGCTCTTGTGTTACTTTTCTCATTGCTATGGCATAGTTCCTGTCAAGAGAAAGGAAGGAAGGAGGGAGGGAGGGAGGGAGGGAGGGAGGGAGGACGGAAGGACGGAAGGACGGAAGGATGGAAGGACGGAAGGACGGACTTGCTCACAGTGTAAAGGTGTGGTCCATAGTGGAGAAGGCATGGCAGCTGGAGGGTGAGGCAACGGGTCATTACATCTGCAGTCTGGAAGCAGAGAGAGATGAGTGCTGATGCTCAGCTCGCTTTGTTCTTTTCATTCAGCACAAGGAATGGTGCTGCCCACAGTCCAGGTGGGTGTTCCTCACCCTCACTGACCTACCCAGAGGGGTGTCTCCTAAGCAATTCCAAACAGCCGTCACAGCTGTGATCTTGACAGCTTTGGACTGATGAATTAATGACCTGTGCTGCTCCTCAGTGAAGCAGGATCAGTGACTGTCTCTTTCTCACCCTCAGAGGCTGTCAGGAGACATATCAGAGTCCCATTGAAAGTGCTCATGAAGTAGCAACTGTCCCCGACTATATGAACCCTAGTCCCTCTTACCGCTGGCACAGACGGCCACACACATTTATTATGACACTAGAGGTCAGAAGTCCAAAATCAGCCTCACTGGGCTAAAGTCAGGGTGACAACAGGGCCATTCTCTTCCAAAGGTGTCAGGGAGAATCCATTCCCTGCCTTTTGCAGCTTCTGAAGGCTTTCTGCACTCCTTGGTTTTCTTGTGTTTGCATTGGGTCACCCAGAAAATCCAAGTCAACATCCCATCTCAAGCTCCTTAGCCTGACCACATCTGCTGGTGACCTGCTCACAGGTGTTAAGAGATCATGACCTGGATGTCTTGGGGACCATCACTCTGCTGACCTGGACCTCGCTGCCTGGTGATTAAGTCGTAACTCACGACTGAGTGGGTAGGAAGGTGTGCATAGCACTGTGTGAGACCAAAAGCCGGTGATGAGCTCCAGCCTCATCTCCCTTTACTTGGTGCACAGGACCCCGGCAGACCCACCGAGACAGGCAGCCAAGCCGGCAGCATGGAGGACCAACAGCAGAGCAGATCCCAGCAGCTGAAGAAGGTTTTCCAAGAATATGGGGCTGTGGGCGTGTCACTGCACATTGGGATCTCACTGGTCTCCTTGGGGATATTTTACACGGTCGTTTCCAGGTGCGATTTTTTTTTTTTTTTTTTTTTTTTTTTTGTCTTTTTGTGTTTTTGAAGCAGGGTCTCCCCGTAGCCCCAGCTGTCCTGGAACTCACTATGTAGACCAGGCTGGCCTTGAAATCACAGAGATCCACCTGCCTCTGCCTTCCAAGTGTTTGGACTATAGGCGTGCGCCACCATACCCTGCCAGGCGTGATTTTTTTTTAAAGTTTATGTGTATTGAGTGTTTTGCTTGCATGGTAAGTGTACCAGGTATGTGTAGTGCCCTCAGAGGCCAGAAGAGGGTGTCAGATGTCCTAAAACGAAGAGTTCGGGATGGTTGTTAGCTATCATGTGGGTTCTGGGAACTGAACCCTGATGCTCGGCAAGAGCAGCCAGTGCTCTTAACCAGTGAGTTCTCTCTCCAGCCCTCCAGGTTTGATTGTTGACAGTGTTCAGTGTTTCTAGTTGAATATTGTACCTCCCCTGTAAGGGAGCACTTGGGAGGCTGAGGCAGGAGGGTTGCTGCAAGTTTCAAACCAACAGGCTATATAGTGAGTTCTGGGCCAGCCTGGGCTTCAGGATGAGACCTGTTAGAGGAGGAAGGAGGGAAGATAGATGACAATTAAGGAAGGACAGAACAAACAGCCAGGGATGTATCTCAGCTGGCAGAGTGCTTGCCTAGCATGCCAAAGCCCAGAGTTTGATCCCCAGCAGGGCATAACCTGGGCATGGTGATACATGCCTATAATTCCAGCACTCTGGACATGGAGGCAGGAGGATCAGAAGTTCAAAGTCATCTTTGGTTACTTAGAGAGTTTGGGGCCAGCCAGGGCTACATGAGGCTCTGTCTCAAAAAACAAAAATTCTATGTGAATGAGAATGCTTTCATTTTAATTAATTTATTTATTTTGGACTTTTTTTGAGACAGGGTCTCCTTGTAGCCCCAGCTGTCCTGTAACTCACTATGTAGACCAGGCTGGCCTCGAACTCACAAAGTGCTGGGATTAAAGGCGTGCACCACCATGCCCGACAATATTTTATTTTTTTTTTATTCTATGTGTATGCATGTATTGCCTGCATGTAGGTAAGTGTACCCGTGTTGTGCAATGTCCGCAGAGGACAGAAGAGGCTGTCGGATCCCCTGGGACTGGAGTTATGGACAGTTGTTAGCTGCCATGTGGGTGCTGGGATTCGAACCCGGGTCTACTGCAAGAACAACCAGTGTTCTTAACCACTGAGCCATCTCTCCAGCCCTTTGTATGACATTTAAAAAATACAGTTAATCTGGGCCAGTGAAATGGCTCAGTAAAAAGTATTTACTGTGCAAGCTGACAACCTGGGTTTGCTCCCCAGAACCCACAGTGGAAGGAGAAAATCAGCTCCTGAAAGTTATCCTCTGACCTCCCCATGCATACCATGGCGTGTGCACACTCAAACACACAATAATAGATAAAAATTTAAGAATAAAAAGTAGAGGGCTGGAGAGATTGGCTCAGCGGCTAAGAACGCTGACCTTTCTTACAGACGACCTGGGTTTGAATCCCAGCACCCACATGGCACCTAACAATTGTCTGTAACTCCAGTTCCAGGGGATCCAACAGCCTCTTCTGTCCTTCACAGGCATTGCACGCACAGGTGCACTTACCTACATGCAGACAATATACTGGTACACCTAAAATAAAAATAAAATTTAAAAAATAATAAAAAGTACTGTTAATCTTGTGGACAATTGATTTCTTTATCACTTTGCCTCTTTCTCCCCCAGTGGCATAGACATGTCTGCAGTCCTGCTTAAACTTGGCTTTACAGAGTCACTGGTCCAGTCTAAAATGGCAGCAGGCACCAGCACCTTCGTGATGGCCTACGCAATCCACAAGCTCTTTGCGCCCGTCAGGATCAGCATCACTCTGGTGTCAGTGCCCTTCCTCGTCAGATACTTCCGCAGAGTGGGGCTTCTTAAACCTCCAGCCTCGAAGCCTTGAACACTTCTTCTGTGGCCCCTGAAAGCCAGTTTATTCTAAGTTGCACAATTTGGAATGGTTTTAGGGCTGTAGGGTGGGGCAGGGAGCTAATTGCTATATTCCAGTGGATTAATTTTACCTTTGCCAGGAAAAATCCGGTGTTTTAAATTTTATATGATTTTTAGTGCTGTTCTTCATAGAGTCATATACATAACCCAAAATGCCAGCAAAGCATCCAAATGAATAAACAGCTGACCTGGTGGCACAGGTCTGTAACCCCAGCTGTCCCAAGGCTGAAGCAGGAGGAGCTCAAGTTCAAAGCCTGCCTGAGTTTGAGTTTAAAGTCAGCTTAGGCAATTTAGTAAGACCATTTCAAAAAGTAAATCAAGGGCTAGGGATATAGTTTGGCAGTAGAGGATTTGCCTAGTATGAGACCCTAAATTCAATCCCCAGTAACACACACACACGAGTTAGCTTTAAAATGTTCCTTCTTAATCAGTGGGGCAGATGGGGTTCCTATCTGTAAAAGCCCTTGAGGGGGGAATCTTTGCTCAAGTTCTGAAAGAAGCAATGATTAATTTGCTGGCTTTTAAAACTCACCCTCTTTTTTTGGCAGCAGCCTGCAGTTTAATATGACAGTCTGCAAACAACTCGGGCATTAGTGAAGCAGCATTTAACACTGGTGTCCACGCGCCACACTACACTGCTGCTAACACTTGCTTTGGGGGAAGAAAACCAAGTACTTCTAGTATATCCTTCACTGATTCCAGAACACCTTCAAATCCGGATGTGACAGGGCTGTCTGAAATTTCATTAGTTCAGGTCAGTACTCAAACACGGCATCACTTGCCTTCGGGTGTCTGTATTGGGGCAGTTGGATGCTGTGCATACAGAGAAAGCTAACAACAGCTTTGACAATCTGCCCAACCGTCCCAAACTTCAGGCATTCCAGAGCTGATGCAGGGTTACAGTGTCACTGGGCATCTATTTTTAATTGAATTAAATCATTTGCACAAAACATTTGTACCTGTTCCTTAAAACAGGAAAATAACACTTGTTCTAACTGGAAGACAACCGTGAAATACCACGAGCTGGGGAGGTGGCAGAAGGGCAGGTGTTATGGTCTACAAGGATGAGGCTTCCTCCTCCAGGTAGCCCGGAGCAGTTAGAGCATCACTCGACATGCCTTTGGGCCGACGCTGGTACAGGGCGCCTGCTCCACCTTGGGGAGCCGGTTTTGGCTCTGCTCAGCTGCAAAATGAAAGGACTTGCCAAGTGAATGCATTTTACTACGATCTGCCAGCTTTGGTCTCGGCCACATTTACCTGTCAGTCATCCATAGTCAACATTCAAAAGAATTGAGATATAGTTTCCACTTACAAGATATTTAAAGTGGAATTGCGTTTTTATTTTTTCCTTTTAAAGCAGCCCACTGCCAAAAGCTTTTACTCATATAAAATCAGAATGCCTTTCTGGAAACTAATTCCAAGGACATCGTGTGTAGCTGAGCTAGATGCCCTATGCCAGTGCTGGGCAATTCCTCACATAGACTGGACATAGCTTCCCTATCTTACCAAGTGTTTTAACCTCCATGTTAGCTCTGGGCTCTGGTCCATCTATCTCTCCCATTCAGGTCCCTCATACCTATGCAAAGAAAAATATTGAAAGGACAAAGCAATAAAATGAATGGTTCCAATAGCCATATCCCAACTCTCCAAGCCCCAACCCTACCCCACACCCGTGGCCAGTAGCCAGAACTGAGGACGAGGTCAAAGGACCAGGGAACTTAAGCACTATGAATTCACCAGCAAGATGCAGATTTGTCTAGTTTTTGGTGGAACTAGGGCAGTGAAACTGCTATTTTAAAAATGTAAGTATTGTTCACCTATAGTTTTTTAGTGACAAAGTGAGCAGCTTAGATTCTATGGAACAAATAAACATCTTTGTACCATCTGCGTCTCCCTCTCCTGGTAAACCATCACTGCACTGGGTCATGAACACTACCGTGTAACGGGTGGGGACATGTCTGCTACTGAGCAGCTGCTTTTCCTGTGTGGTTCCAGCTGGATTCTGCACTGAGCTCAGATCCCTGCAATGGCGTAGGAGTTACTGTGGTTTGGGGGAACCATACACGGGACACTGCTACTTTGGGAAAGTCCAGTTGGTTTAGCACAGAACTGGACACCAAAAGCTCACTTGGCCCAAGGGGCTGAGCTCTGCAGTTCCAGTCAGCTGTGTTTACCAGTGAGGCAACAGTCACTTGGACACCCAAGTCTGCTTACATTGGCCACTTCTCACTCATGTGACATCTAGTGTCCCATTGAGAGCTGGCCATAAAAGCCTGTTTCTCTGACCAGTTCCAAGTCCCTCAACTTCTACTTTCTTCCACCAGGTTCACACTCTGGTTGATGATCAGATGACACTGTCTGACTCAACGTATTAGGAATATATCCAATGGGCCAGAAAAGCAGGTACCCGCTCATCTCCACGCCAACAGAACAACTGGTCAAATGATCACTCATGTACTCCAGGTAGATAGATGAATTTATATATTTAACAAGTTTGCACATGACATAATTCCAACATAAGGGTCCTTGACATTTAGATACAGCTGAGACACTGGGTGTCTTCCATGTCCCAATCAAGTCAAGACAGAGGTAGAGCACATGTTCCTATACACAGAGAATGAGAATCCCAGTCAGACTTTAGGATGCGAAACATTGGAGATCACCACTGAAGGAAAAACAGAGTTCATATAACTCTTCATTTAACAATTTAAAAGAAAACCATATCTTTATTTTAACATTTAAAAGAAAACCACATTTTTACAGCTTTCCCAGCCCTGGCAACCCAATAAATTACACGCACACGTAGCACTTGAAGTCTACAACACAGGCAATCACTGGGGAAGCAGGGTCAAGTGGCAACTTTCCCCACAATGAGACTCATCTCCCACATGGCCAACTTGCCCAGCATAGGCTGTGGGGACAGCTGCAGGCAAACTTGCCTCCAGATTAGTGAAAGTACATTGTTTCTGGGGGCCCGGGTAAAGCCACATGTGCTAAGGAAGGGCTTTCTGTACAGCAGGCCGAGCTGCCTGTGCAGTGCAGTGGCTGAGGGTGCTGATGACAGCTTGGGACGTCTCAGTGGCATGTTCCCAAAAATTGTGGGGTGGTCCTCAGGATTTCCTATGACAATTTGCTTTTTTGGCATGTCGGTGGCTTTGATGAATTTGCTGTTACCCAGGGGTGTTCAAGGACCTCTGCTAGTGTTAGCCTCTGGCTTGCATTATGCTTTAACAGTCTTGAAATGAGGTCCCTGGCTCCCTCTGTCACAAAGTCAGGGAATGTGAATTCAACCTGTGGCATGAAAAAATGACAAACCTGGGTCAGAGATGCAGCAAGACAGACATGAGACCTTGGCCTGAAGCCCAGAGCCCAAATGCAATGTGGGTTTCTTGGTCATCTTACCCGTGATATCCTTTTGTATGTCTCCTGATGCGTCTGCGCCTCAAAAGGGGGCATCCCAACCAGGAACTCATAGCAGAGGACGCCCAGGCTCCAGAGGTCCACCTTCTCATCATGCATGCGGCCTTCGATCATCTCAGGGGGCAGGTAGTCCAGGGTGCCACACAGCGTGGTTCTCCTACAATCAGAGGCTCAGGCTGATACCCCAGCTCTGCACCAATGGCTTGAGCACTCCCCCAGGCCCTGTGCTGTGCAGGTTCCCCTCAATCCCTACTTTTAGATAGGAGTGTGTGAGATCACACTCTAGTCACCAAACTTCCCCTAGATCTGTTCAATTCCAGAACCTCTTAGAATAATTAAGGTAACACTCAAAGCATTATAGGATAAAAGCTACCACACAGCAGGATAGTGAATCAGAGCTAGCCTGGACTGCATTGCAAGACCCTTGTTTCAGAAAATGACAGTTGTTATGCCCTGTTCTGTGTAAGTACAATTTGGAGTTCTACATTAGGTCTAAGTCAAAGGACACCACTATGTAGGCTGGGAGTATTGACTCACACCTGTAATCCCAGCATTTGGGAGGTAGAAGATGACTGACATGGGTTGGAGGCAGCCTGGGTTATAGTGTGAAAATTGGGGGGTGGGGGGAAGGGGGACAAGAGGAGGAATGAAAAAGATTTAGGAACTCAAGGGGACCGGTCCACATGAAGATAAAAGAGGCAATTCAATACCATTCATGCAATTTTGTTGGGCTCTTTAGGGCTTTTCTCTTGGGTTTTGTTTTTGAGATGGAGTCTTGCTATGCAGCCCAGGCTGGCCTCCAATCTGCTCACCCCTGCCCCCTTCCAGTTGCTGCTGGGGTTACAGGCTTGTGCCAGCATACCTGCCTGGGTTCTGATTTTAAAACCCGCTCACCAGCTTGGCCTCAAACTTGCAGTCCTCCTGTCTGGCCTCTGAAGCACTGAGATTGCAAACGTGTACCACCAAGACGTGGTGGCACACACCTTTAATCCAAGCAGAGGGAGAGGCAGAAGGATTTCTGCACATTCCAGGCCAACCAGGACTTCAGTAAGACCTTGTCTCAAAAATAAAATTTCATGGAAAATTGGAGAAATCTGAATGTGGACTAAGTAGTAACTACCAAAAATGCTACTAACTTCTTAGGAGTGGCAAGAGCTGGGAGCGTGCACCCCACCCAAGGGGCACACACCAAGGCATCGCAACGCCACAACCCATTTTCAGACACCTATGCAGCCAGCCAGCAGTGTTCGGGGCCATGGAATGGAGGACTGCAAAGGCCACCAGCAGATTTCTATCCACTCAGGTTTTGAAAACCAAAGTTGGAAACAAGCTGGGAGTGGTTAAGAGCACTAGCTGCTCTTGCAGAGGACCCAGGTTCAATTCCCAACATCCACATGGCAGCTAACAACTATTGATAACTTTAGTTCCGGGGGGATCCAGCACCCTCTTCTGATCTCTGCAGGCATTGCACAACATGGGTGCACTTACATAGAAGCAGGCAATACACTCATACACATAAAAATAATTTTTTAAGAAAGAAATGATCTATAACAAACATGAAAGGTTCCCCTACCTGTCATCTGCCTTAGGCTATATAATTTTTTATAATAGGCTTTTAAGATTGCATTTATTCGTGTGTGTGTTTGTATGTGTGTGTGTGTGTGTGTGCGCAAGCTTGTCATAGCATGAGTGTGGTGATCAGAGGACAACTTTTGGGACTTGGTTCTCTCCTTCCACAATGTGGGTCGTCAGGCCCAACTGCAAGTATCTGCTGAGCCATCTCTCCAGCCTTCCCAAAGGCTTTTTAAAAAAAGTCATTTAGTAAGAATTTTTTAAGTAGTCCCCAAAAGCTGACAAGCCCTAGGCAGAAGGTACTTTAAAACACCCACTCACAAATGTCCGTGAACAGTTTACTTTTGTTTTTGTTTGGAAAGTCTGCCTCTTAGTGTCACTTGTTTCATTCAATGCCACTTCAGCTGTATGGGGACAGGAAAGGTCTGCTCCTCTGGCTGACATAAGAAGCCTATCCCAGCCGCCAGCCTCAAAGCTCCAGTCAAACCACCATGGTTTTCAAAGCCCCCACAGACCTGCAGCTTGGCTCTGGATCTCACACTGCTCTCCACTGGAGCTTGTCCCTGCCTCTCCACTTGCCACTTAGGTAGAAGCCCCGCCTTCCACACACCTGTCTTTCATGTATTATGTATGTGTCACATCTGTAAGCTTATTCACATGCTCATGAACCTCTAAGGACATAGAGATATCTGTAACCCAAGACCTAGAGTGCCAAAGAGCCCAGCATGGTCACAGAAGAAATCTGATCCGGTCTCAACTGCTCCAAAGCATTCCTAGGTGGGTCACCGCCCAGCTTATGAAACATTTCAGAGAGATTGGGCATTCAATTTGCGCATCTGCTAAAAGCTCCGGAGTCCATACCTGGAAGACGGCGCATGTACAGACCACCCGAAGTCTGCGATCTTCAGTTCTCCGTTTGATCCAAGAAGCAGGTTCTCAGGCTTGATGTCTCTATGGATGACTCTCTTCGAATGACAGTAAGACAGAGCATTCGCCAACTCAGTGATATACTGTGGGGAAGAAGCATTGAAAGCCTGGGTTCAGACATCATGTACCTCAGGCAGGCACTAACTCTTCTGAAAAAGACCCAACACAGATTTTAACAGGTTTTTCAGGTTTGGAAGCAAACACTGCAGAAATGGAGATGTCTACAAAATCAGCTGCTCAACTCTCAGGTCACTCAGTGCTCAGCTAACTCTGAGCTAACACTACCAATGTGGTATGGAGACAGGCCATTGCTAGCTGAGCCGGAGTCACAGTCCCTGAGGCAGCGAATTCCTCTGGAATACTCAATGCAGAAGCAGCAGCCCAAATTCAGGATTCAGATGTGCAAACAAATCTTAAGAGGTGCCCCCTGGAGCTCCATGGCCGTGACCTTGGACTTCCCTGTAAGATCTGCGAGAAGCAAGGCTGCTGCCTCTTAGAGCAGTCCTCAAGGTAAATCAACAGAAAAGCATGCAAGCAGAAACAAGCCGGGTGTGGGGGCGCACACCTTTAGTCCCAACACCTCGGAGGCAGAGGCAGGCAGATCTCTGTGGGTTCAAGGCCAGCTTAGTCTACATAGCAAGTTCCAGGACAGCCCAGGGCTATACAGTGAGACCCAATTTCCACAAAAAATAAAATGAAAAAAAGCAAACCAAAGCATTCAAGCAAATCAGTTTCTGCATTACTTCTGTTTCTCTTTAAGACTTTCCAATCTTGGGGCTAGAGCTGCACTTTGGTGGTTGAAAGCTTACTCAGCATGCCTTAGGCACCCTGGATTCCAGCCTCAGTACTGTATGCAATCCCCCTGGCTCCCAATTTTCTAGTCCTCACCTAGTGACTTAGCAAGCCAAATCCAGTACTTAAGAGAGATGAGAAAGATACAGCGATTATATAGTCAAAGCACATTCGTGACTAGCAAAGGTTTATTTGGGGGGGGGGGGTGCAGCACTATCAAAAAGGACATTTGTTCTTTTATAGCCCAAAGTCAGACACCAAAATGTAGAGCACCATAAACTGGAAGTGAATACAAAGGAAGCTACTCTTCCCCCACACCACCCAGGGTAGCTGAAATGCCCTGCAGGTTGACAGTCTAGAGGGGAGGGGGCTCCCAGCAGGGACCATCTGCAGACAAGCATCAGTTTAACCAGCACACCCTTCTTGTTAACCAGCTCGGCTTTCTCTATGGACCAGCACACTCTGGTACCCACTTCCTCCACACCTGTACTCTAGGATGATAGACAGGTAGAGGCCCCTAACATTACTCTACTTTCAAACTAGACTGAGAGGAAACAGGGTGGGGTATTCTACCTACAGCTATGTGTGTATACCAAATAAACTCCACTTGCACTGAAGCCTTAGGTTTGAGAAGGAGATGGGGAAGCTAAGCACATGAACAACACTCTAGTCTTTTCAGTAGGGAGATCAGAAACTGAAGGACAAGATTAATTTACCAAAATAAAACTGTAGGGTCTGGAGAGATGGCTCAGTACTTACTGAGATAACTCACTCACTGCTCTTGCAGAGGACCCAAGTTCAATTCTCAGCACCCATATCAAGCAGCTCACAACCACCTGTAACTCTAGCTCCTGGCACCTGTGGCTTCCAAGGACGCCTGCACTCACATGCACATATTCACACAAACACACATGCACAAAAATAATGAAAAATAAAAGTATAGCCCATTATAAGACTTTTTTTTTTAAAAAAAAGAGGTCTATGTAGAGATAGAGTTCCAGGCCAGCTGGGGCTATGGGGTGACCCTGCCTCAAAAAATAAACAACCCCCCCCACAAGGCTAATGTAGGTACACAGCCTGTCATTACATTACTCATTTAACTTTTTGCTGTAAAGCAGGGTGGGCGTGTAATCCTAGCATGCAGGAGGCAGAGATAGGTCCCTACAGCCAGCTGGCTCCTCCGGGCTAAACGGGCTCTCAGTACAGCAAGAGACCCTGTCTCAACCTATAAGGTGGACAGTGAACGAGAAAGACACTAACCTCGGCGCCACGTGCACGTGCACACACACGCAAACAGACACACACATACACATACATACATGTTTATATGCAAAAAAGATTAGGAAATACTTAAGCAAATAAAACAGATCTCCTCTACTTGTCAGAAAAGCACTTAAGGTCAGGTTTAAATACATGTCATCATTGTAATAACAGCTTAGAAGGTCACTGATAGCTGGTGTCACTTTAGAGGGTGAAAGCACGTCACTCTGACTTAGATACTACAGAAATCAATGCCAAGCGCATTCAGAATGTACCAGCCATAGATCTCCACCAGGAGACCTGTGCAAAGCATTCACCAGAACCGTCAGCTTCCAGTCAACAAGCAGCAACCCCGATGGAGACTTGAACTTCTCAGGACAATAATTCTATTCCCATGAAGGAGAAACGAGGAAAGCAGAGGCCATGAGAGACACTGCCTTGCCTTAAGGGACATAAGATCACAAAGTGCCTGGAAAGGGTGAGGAAAATGAAAAGACCCAGACCAGAAGGAAGCATCTGCACACACCAGAATAAAGAACTAAAACTCAACGATGAAAATTCGAAACACTTCGACCAATCATTCCAGGTTTTCTAGTCTATACCACAGTGCCTTGCAAAAGCACCATATGAATAAAGCAATAAAATCTGATTATTAAGTTCCAGCGGTAGACCCTACTTATTCAATAGAAAATGAGTTTTATGTGGTTATTAAAACAGTACAGTTAATTAGACTAAATCTGTGTAGATAGGGTATAGATTTTCTTAACCCTAAGGTGTAAATGCAATTAGCTTAATTTAAAATTTGGAATCTAAAGGTTTTCTATAGCTAGGCACTTTATTACTCTCAAATGGAAAGCACTTACAAATGGACAACCGCACAGTCTAGTTTTGCCATCATCGTTCCTATCTACATTTTTTTTAAAGCTTCAAAGGCAAAATTTAAGCAGAGATGCTTATAGCTCTATCTGTTTTAATGATAATGTTTCTATTACACAACCTTCAAGTTTGCATTAAGTATAAGTAACCTAAGATCCCATTTAAAAAAAAACTTGGTTTAGCATTTTGTAACTTAATCAGTGACTTCATTTTCATGGTGGGGTGAAATCAGGGAAGGTTTATGTCACACTGATTCACTAGAGTTGATTTATCAAGATTATGCTAGACAAAATTTAAGGGAAAAATACTATAAGAAATAAATGCCTCATCTGAACATGTAGAATCCAGTGTGTATGAGGCCTCTTAGCATTTTAATAGCACTTTTAGTACCAGAAAGGCACATCTACTAAAAAGTTACACATAGTATGGAAATCGTTTCTTCCAGATTTCTGATTGAAATGTCCTTAGCATATTAAGGCATTAAAGTGGTATTTGGAATTAAATGGATTTACTTATAAGGATCAATCTAGTCTTCCTTTGTATGGTTTTTTTATAGGTTATAATTGATCAAATCTTCTTACTAATAGTAAAGGTGAGGGTGATGAAGCAGGTTTTGGGTTTTCCTGTGCTGTTTCTTAAGTATTGGCTGTTTATATACTTAGCCATAACTTGGTGCAAAAAGCTGAGCATTGTCTCTGTTAATGAACTGGAAGAGGCCTACTTAGTTTGCTTTAACCGCCTCAGGATGTCTCTTGAAATAAGCTGTTTCCAAAGGAACAGAAGGGAAATTTACTACCTAGTCTGTAAACAGTATAACCCTCAAAGGGGACTCATCCCCTCAAATGTGGACTAAAGAAAAGGGTGGTGAAGACGCACAGGACGCAAGTCCTGGAACAGGAAGAGAGCTGACCTTGTCACTACAGCCTTACAGCTGACCTGTTAGCGGCTTTTCACTCAATCAAAACTCCCTGTCCTCCTTTCCCTCTTTGAAGCAAGTCTTGGTCAACTAATTTTGCTTCATTATGACTTTTAAAATGAAAGCTATTACTCTAAATTTATTAATAGGTACCTTATTTGCTTTGAATCAAATCATCCCATTATCAGACTTCCCTTGGTTTACTGTAGATAATTGGCTTTAAGGTATTTTTGTCTTTTAAACAAACATGCAGACTTTTGATTAATTTGTTAAATCGCTGTAGCTGGCAATCATTTTACATTTGTGAAATTGCATTCCCTCTGTATCCAGTGTGTAACTTGCCAATTGAGTGCATTTTATATTCAGGTTGGACTATGCATGTTTGGATAAATGAAGCTGTGTTTGATTTATGGTTTAAAAATAAAGTTCCCTGAAAAAAAAAAAAAAAAAAAAAAAAAAAAAAGAAAAAGAAAAAAAATAAACACTTCAGAGATGAATAGGTGTCTACACAGCACACACAGGGTTGCAGAGATGGCTTGGCTACCAAGAGCATTTGCTGTTCTTCCAAAGGACCCAAGTTCACTTCCCAGCACCCACACTGGATGGCTCACAACTACCTATAGCTCCAGCTCCAAGGGCTCCAACTCCCTCTTCTGGCCTCTATGAATACTCTATTCATGTGGCACATATACAGAGACATATAAATTTTTAAAAATGAAAATAAATTAAAAACATAAATGGCACATAAAGTCAATACCATATGCCACTAGGAAATCACAAACCAAAACAAGGAGATGCCATGACACCTATCGGAATGACTGAAGTCCAAAACCCTGACAGCACATGCTCCTGAGCGGGAGTGCTGGTGTTCAGAGGCAAAAAGAAATGAAAGCATTTGGAAGGATGAGGAGGATGGCCAGCTCAAGTGAGCCCCTGCCTCAAAAAACAAAACGGGCTGGAGAGACAGCTCAGTGGTTGAACACTGGCTGCTCCTGTTGAGAACCCAGGTTTGGTTCCCAGCACCCAATGGCAGCTAACGACCATCCAGTTCCAGGGGATCCTGATGCCCCTCTTCTGACCTCCACAGGCACTGCACAACACAGGTGCACTTACATACATGCAGGCAATATACCATACACATAAAAGAATAAATAATTTTTTTTTTGTCTTTTTGAGACAAGGTCTCCCTTTAGCCCCAGCTGTCCAGGAATTCACTATATAGACCAGGCTGGCCTCAAACTCACAAAGATCTGCCTGCCTCTGCCTCCCAAGTGCTGGGATTAAAGGCGAGTGCCACGATGCCCAGCCAAGAATAAATAAAAATATTTTTTTAAAAAAGAAATGAACTGGGTTAGGCCTGGGGCTTCACTGGTAGAGGAGACTGCCCAGTGTGTGTGACGTAGTCCTGAGTTCGATCCCCAGTACCGCCCCCTCAAAAGACAAACGGAATGAGTGGGCCATCCCCCACAAGGACACAGGTGAACCTTAAACACAAACTACTACTGCTACTGCCAGGAGAAGAAACCCATCTAGAAGGGCTCTGCGTTCTTAGGACTCCAATTACGGAATTCTGGAAAAGGCATACAATAATTAGTAAACAAAACCAGTGGCTGCCAGAGACTGCAAGGGAGAGGGCCAACTAGGTGACACACATCCTTTGATTTTGGAGCAAACGCTTCTGTATGGTATTGCAATCATTAATATACGACATTTTGCATTTATCAAAACCCATACAACTTTACAGCACAGAAAGTAAAGCTCAGCATATGTAATGTTAAGGAAAAATACAGAAGAGGCTGAACACCAGGATGGTATGAGGCCAGGGCAAGAGCATCTAACCTTATCACAAAACACAAACCCACCCTGGTAACAGGAAAGGGGAAACATCGCCTAAGTGATTGAATGGGTGGAGTGTGAAACGGACAACAGCGACTCTGCAGCCGTAGCATCCTGCCAGGTGAATGGACTGACTACCATCTGCCACAGGCACACAGTGTGGAAATACCCTGGAACTGCGTAACTAAAGACACGGTGGACAGTGAACCCAGATCGCTCACTGTAGGGGTGTATTGTACAGATAAGTCCAGGGGACAGGAGTCCAGAAGATCCTCTCGGATTGGATCCGCTGAGCACATCAGTATGAGCGCACAGCTTTATAAAGGATAAACATTGATGCATGTATGCCCATGGATCACTAAATACCCTGTTCTCTGCAGTGAAGAGGTCCTAGCGGTAATGAGCTCCCTAGTGGCCAAAATCTTGGTTTTGAATAACATTCTCCAATAAAGGAGCCAAGATCCTTGAGGAAATGGCTGACTGTAGGAACAGGGCCAGAAACAAAGATGAGACCAAGTCCACTGCACCAGAAGCATAGCCAGTGCCAAACAATCTGAGCAAAAGGAAGCCGAGCTGGACTGCAGGCCGTGTAGAAATGCTCAGGAATGGGGATTCCAAATGAATGTGCCAGGGAGACAGGCCACTGCAGCGCACAGGTCAGTCTACATGCACACGCCTCGGGAGTGGGCCGTGCTCCACTTTACAGTGGAGATGCAGGATGGACACCAGCTCAGGCACAGGACTGCGCCCACCTCCCAACAGTCACACTGCAAATGCAACGTGCACTTCACCAAGCTGCTTCTCTCCACACCCACACCCCTTTCTAATCATGAGGGACTCTATGGCATACTGAAGAAAGTCAACTTAATGGTCAAACGACACTGAGCCACTGCTTATAAGTAGAGCAGCATATTGACTGAAGCCATTAATAATGGGGGAGATTCGGTGTGGAGTACATGGAAACTCTGCACTACTGTTAGACTTCTGTACACCTGAGTCTATCAAAATAAACAAGGGGTGGATGACGGTGCAGAAGCAACTATCCATATCCATCTCCCATCTCCCAGACAGCGAGTCAAAGCCCAAAACTCCGTGACACCAAAGTTTATCTGTGCATGACACAGCTAAGCTCTTGGTTTCCCAGTCTCAAATAAGCGACCCTACTAAACCTCTATTACGACCGAACCTGCTCTGCCGTGGAGACAGTGCACTGTCAGAGGGCGAGCCCGGACAGACTTACAGTGGCAGTTCTCTGCTCGTCAAACTTGGAGTGTTTCTGGAGCTCTCTGTAGACCGTGCCAAGGGGTGCATATTCTAGAATAAGATACACTCTGGTGGCATCATGGAAATAGCCGTATAGCCTGAGAATGTTAGGGTGCCTGCAACAAAGAACCAAGATGGTAACATCTGGTTTCAGAGTCACCTCAGCTCAGGCTGAAGACTGCAACAAGCCCCCCGGGTAATACGATGGGGTATGTCACAGGAAGCCCCCTCCCCCAGCACACAGATGTGAACACTGAGCCTGTTCAAGACCCTTATATCCATTACCATGGATTTCCAAGTATTGATGGATCTCAGGGTTAGCTTACACCCCTTTCTTCCTTCTGGGATCTTTAGTGGAAATTTTTCAACTAAATACACATCTCTGCATGTTAAAGGGCACAGGGTCTGCACATAAGCCAAGGCAGGGCCCGGTGGAGGCGGGGCCACGTGCCTGGGAGAACACACCCATCTGCAGAGCAGCGCTGTCCCCAGGCACCTGCACCTGCCAGGTGCCGGCAGACGGGTACAAGCCAAGGAACAGCCGGAGTTTCAGTACTGGCATCTGAGTCAAATGTGACCAACACTGAAGGCAGAAAAAGCACTGACTCAAGTCAGCCAGGGTCTCCCCTCATCATCAACCGCAAGAAAAAATTCCAAGAAAATTACTTCACTCATAAAATTAAATCTTGAGTGATTTTTGTCAGGATCACATCACCTAAGTCTGTGGAAAATGGTGTGTGCCTGTGTGCAAGCAGGTAGAAGCATCCCTCTGGTCAGGACACGCACCGCAGGTGGGACTGGATCTCCACTTCTCTCCGGAGCTGGTGCTCCACCCCGGCTTTCTCCAGCTGGGCTTTAAACAGCACCTTCAGGGCCAGGATAAACTTGCTCTGCTTCTCCCTTGCCAAATAAACATTACCGAACTTTCCTTTACCCAGGGGCCGGCCAATGTCGAAATCTTCCAAAGTCCACTGCCGTCTAGAAAGTAATTTGAACATTTAACATATGAAGAACACAAAGCTCTGATAACACTGCCAGTGAGCAGTAAGGTAATTCAAGCTCAGACTGCTCAGTGTGCATCCTCGGCAAGCACCAACCCCCAAACCACCAACTAGCCACCAACATCAAGGGTGGGCCCAGCAGCCAGAGTTGGGGCCAAGAAACAATCGTGAATCTCTAGAGTGGAGGCCTGGCAGGCGAGGGGGACAGAGCAGCAGCATGACCCATAGTAGTCTTACAACACCCCCCGCCATCTAAAAGGATGAGCTACCAGAAAGGAGATGGCCTCCCTCCACCCTCACAGGGGCGGAGAGCCATGCTGGCAGGAGACAGAGCCACTGTCACTGGTGGAAGCTGGACGTAGCCCAGGCCAGTTTGCCATGAAAATCTTGGGAATTGGAGTGTGAGAAAGACCACACAAGGTGGTCTGTGGGGCCATGGGACAGCTTTTCCATGCCGTAGTCTAGTTTGGGGTCTAGAAGCAGGCATTCATTCACCAAGTGTCTGGGAGGATGTACTGCCAGCCTCTCACACACAGAGCAAGTGCAGCAGCTTTACCACTGCTCCGAGGCACCCGACAGTGCACACATACACAGAGGTCTGTGCCTGGCATTCGGGAATTCAGACTTGTCCTTTTAGCCAGATGCCATGCTGTGTGCGGAGGCATCGCTCGAGCCCAGGAGTTTTAGACTAGCCAGGGCAACATAGTGAGACTGACCCAGAAACAAAAGCCTGTACTTTTGTACAAAAATAAACACACTGGTTACTTCTGATATTTTCTATATTTGAAAAGTACTAAAATAACCAACCAACCACAAAATCTTTTGAGTCCTAGGTTTTAAAAATTGATCTTAAAAAAAAAAAGGGAGAGAGAAGGACTTTAGGATTTGAATCCTGGAAACAGGTTTGTTAACTGAGGGCTGGTATTTTTTTTTTTTTGAAGGGGAGGTGTGTCTTCAAGACAGGGTCTCTTTGGAGCCCCAGCTGGCCTTGAACTTACTGTGTAGACCAGGCTGGTCTCAATCACACAGAGATCCACCCACCTCTGCCCAGACTAAAGGCCTGTGCCATGCTCAGCTTAAAAGGTGTTGTTTTCATAGCTGTGTCTGCAATTCCAGAATGGTAAAAAAGCTTACTTTTTTGAGTCTTCACTTTTCTGTTTGGATGCTCGTTCCTTTTCAGGATTTCCTATATGAAATAAGGTGAAATACTGGTTTTAGAGCAACTATATATAAGTTCTTATTAAAAATTTGTGAAGATATAAATCAAAGAATAGTCAGTCACTGAACTACTAATGATAGGTCAAGAATGATAAATCTGGGCTTTTCAATCTTTAAAAAAAATCACCACCACCACCACCACCCTACTATACCACACCTGACGTCTCACAGAAGCTCTAGAGTAAAGATGAGCAGTGCTCACAGTCAGGCTCCCCAGTAAAGCCCAAGAAGGCTTCCCCCGGGCTCTATTTCCCAAGAAGGGATTCTAGAGCATCACAGACCACCCATCTATACAAGCTGCCACCTGTCACCTTTCCAACCCTTTGGGGACCAACATCCATCCACACTGTCATCACAGTAACTCAAGATAACAGAAACCACTAGTTCAGGAAATGGTACCAGCTGCACAGAGGCACCATCTCAAGAGCTGTGAGGTGGGGCCCCTTCTCTGCGCCTGCTCACCCTGAGACTCACCAGCATGGCCATTCTGCTCTGGTATTTGAATAGAGGTCCAAATGGGTTCTCCCTCAGTCACTGTCTCAACTAAAGCCATCAACAGTACAGTTGTGGGGCTGAAGATCACCCCAAAACAGGGCTGAGGAGGGTGAACCAAAACACATTTCTTTGCCATATTTTGAGCTGCTAATTTGAAGATACTGCCATCTCAGGGCAAACTCTGAAAGGTTGTCCTTTCATAAAAGCAAGGTATGTTTCTTTTTTTAAACAATATCTCTATGAGTTCAAGGCCACCATGGTCTACATAGTGAGTTCTAGGCCAGCTGGGGCTACTGAGAGACCCAATCTCAAAAAGCCAAAAAAATTTTTTATTCGCTAGACAAGACTTTAATCCCAGCACTTGGGAGGCAGAGGCAGGCGGATCTCTGCATAGTGAGTTCCAGGCCAGCTGTGGCTACAGGGAGACCCTGCCTCAAAATGACCAAAAAAAAAAAAAATTATTATTTTTATTTTAAGTGTATGAGTGTATTGCCTACATGTATATAAATTGCACCTGTGTCATGCAATGTCTACAGATGACATCAGATTCCCCTAGAACTGGCAGTTGTTAGCTGCCATGTGGATGTTGGGAATTGAACCCAGATCCTCTGCAAGAGCAGCCAGTGCTCTTAACTGCTGAGCCATCTCACCAGTCCCCCAAGCAAGGCATGTTTCTAAAGGACATACACAGCAGGACCACCTCCTACAAGGAAGAGACTGCCAAGAGACAAGGTCTGACACCTACACAGCTTATTGCACAGGAGCACAGGCCTGGTTCAGCACTACCCACTCCTCTCCCTCCCACTGGAGAACCCAGGTCCTACTCCTTACTGGACCTCAGGATGGTATAAGAACTCCAGCTGCCCGACCTTTCCCATCTCTCACTCTGACTTGCGCATCTGTACTAAGCGGCGTTTCTCCAGCTTACCTGTCCACTGTCAGCTGATTTTTGCAGACTCAATTATACTACCCAAGTGTGCATGCACGACAGAAATTCCCTTTCTTTCCTAGCCAGTTCTGGCTGCCTCCCACTACTCACCTTCCACCCAGATCCCTCTCCTCAATGGGGTCTCAAAGTAGCCGCACCCACCCCCTCCCTTCCAGTGACTCTGGCTGTTTTCATGAAGTGTGATGTGACTGAGATGGTGTAGATGCGGCTATCTTTGCCCACTCTAAGCACTCACCGGCTGCTAAGTAACTGTTCATATCCCCCTCCTCCACTCTCTGCTGTCCTACTTGGTCTTCCATCCACACAGCCCGACTCAGCAGTGCCCCTCTCTCATATCCCAATACATCCAGAGCAGGCTTTCTAAAGGTGGTCTCCAGCAGCCTCCTCTGCTCAGAAAGTCTCTAGTAGCTTCCTCATGCACTGGAGATGGTGCCTCCCCTCAAGGAGAGCCAGAAATGCCCCTGGAGGACCTCCAGCGGTCCCCCATTTGGCTTCTCTAGACCCCCTCCCCATTGCAGAACAGTGGTGTTTTCAGTGCCTCAACGTAGCTGCCATAGTCTACACGCTGATCCAATGATAAGCAATCAAAAGGGAATGGGATGACCCCTGTGCATCAAGCCCCCTTCCCTAGAGGATGAGAACCAGTCTGGGTTTCCAGCACCAGCCTGGACCACAGACACCATCCCTTCATTCAGTGCGGACATCCTATTTTCTCTTTGTCCTCAAAAGACATGTGAAGGTCAGGGCTCCCAAAGAGAAATGCCAATCTACATTTTTCTTTTTAGCAACAACTAAAAAGAATGCCATCCAAAGCTCTTCTAAGGCTGGCTTACCAGAGGCTTCAGGCTGCTCGCTCTTCTGAGGGTTACTCAGCCGGGAGACAGGCTGCAACTGCTTGGGTACCGGTTTCTGACTGGAGACGAGCTTTTGTGCTTGTGAAGGACCTCGGTGGGTGGCATTGGAAGGGCACAGGACCCGCTGGGCCTGGCCAGTGCTTGCAGATCCTGGGTTCTGAGAAGGAAACTGCTGGGTCACCAGGACACGTTTCGGACCGTCACCAAAGGGAACTGAAGCCTGGGAGGGAAAGTAAGACTTATGGGCTTCAGGAATGAAAGGTGGGTGTTGTGAGACTCCCCGAAAGTTTCTTCTGTGGTCTAACAATCATGGACCACATGATAATAACAAGTACATGGCTGAAAGGATGGCTTCCAGGCCACCTTCTACCCTAAAATCATGAGCCAAACTTCTATCCAAGGATGAAGACACTGAACATCTTGACTTCTAGAAGGCAGGCATGCCAGCACACACCTGTGATCCCAGCACTTGGAGGCTGGGCCAGGAGGAGCAAAGTTTCAGACCAGCCTTGGCTCCCAAGTGAGACCCTTTCTCTAAAACAGAAAAAAACTTCATACCAAAAGTCTCAGTTCTACTAAAATTTGATTTTATACTTAGAAAAAAGGCTGAAAGAAATATGTGAGTGTCCAACAGTGATTATCTTCAGGAGAAGAAATTTGGAAGACAATTTAAATGCTGTGTTATGTTGGGTTTCCACAATAAGCTTACTACTATTAATATGCCCAGATTTCATTTTCAAGTATTTACAAAATGGACTTGAACAAAAGGAACTTTGGTCAAAGAAAAATATTTTTTTTTAATTTAATCTCCAAACTTCAAATTCTTCTCCAAAGCTAAAATACATAGAAATTAAAACTATTAAAAAGTTGACTTTTCAATAGAAGGGAGGAAAAAAAGAACTTTGACAAAGAGCAAACAAACGTAGGCTTCTCAAAGTGTCATTACTACAATGCCTTATTTACAAACCTGTGCGTAATGTGCTACAAGCTCCAATACCTTGAACACCACGAGCTAATCACACTGAAATGAAGGTGAGTTCTTCCTGCCCAAGTGAGGGGCTCAGCATCCATCACTAGCTCCTGCAGAAGTTGAGTGCAGCAACCACAGCCCTCTAGGCAGATCAGGAAATGATCCAAGGTTTCAAGCCAACACAGCGGTGGGAAGAATCCCCATACCAGACCAATTTCCATGTTAAGTTCTTATAAATGTGATTGTGTGAGCTGGTGAGATGCCTCAGTGGTAAAGGCTCTTGCCACCAAGCCTGATGACCTGAGTTCAATCCCCAGGACTCACATGGTAGGAGAGAACAAACTCTCACATGCTGGTCTTGACCTCCACATGCATATACATACATACACACACAAAATAAAAGTAATTTAAATTATAATTAAAAAAAAAATGAATGTGACTGTGATTACAGAAAATTCTATTTACCTTAATGGGCCCAGAAGCGCAGTTTTCTTTAGATCTATCCATGACACCTGGCAAAAGAAAGACCCTTTCATGACAGAGCCACCTTGCTTCAAAGTGCTGTTGTGGTAGGCAGTCACATCCCTGACGCACAGCCTCTGATATGTACTCATCTTTACCCCTTTCCTTGTATGAATAAAGGTGATGAGAACGTTCTCACCCGATGTACACAATGCACAGGCACGTGGTGTGGTCCCTTCACTCACATACACAGGATTGATTGTCCCACATCCCCTCTCACATCCGACCTGTCTTTCTGCGCTACTGTGCCCCAGCCATACACAGCCTGCCTGGAATACCTGCTACCTTTAAGAGCCCTATTTGCTGCACAGCTGCCCCAGGACGTGATCTCCCGCTCACCTCCCCTTCCAACAGCAAAGATTTTTAAAATCCCACCACCATGTTGCCTACAACAGGGCTTCCCCCTGTGGCCAAACCCAACACGTCCTCGTGAGGACCGGCACACAGTGACCACTTCTTGCCCTGTTCCCTAGCTCCCAGTTAGTTTTCGTCTCACACTGCCAGCTGCCATTTCTTACTCTCCCTTCACCCCAATCTTCATGTCCTTGGACCCTCCACTTCCCCATCTACACCAAATGACCTTCAAGGTTCCCATTCTGCTCAAACCAAAGATTTACTCTTCTAAGTAAGACTGCTTGGGCACATGCTTGGTTTTTCCCTTTTTCAGATCTATGGGTGTTGTTAGAGGGGAGAGGGACAAAAATGAATGTTACTGAAGAGCCTGTAATTCAAGGATCTGGGAGACCGAGGAGGTGGTAGAAGGAAGGGCTGCAGCTATAGCTACCTCCCTCACCAGATGTAGGAATATAGGGATTCTGAGCCAGGGGCCCAGCTTTAAACGATCCTGCATTACACACTCCTGTATAACTAGCACACACTGGTGTTACTAATTGCCAGTGGATCATAAGAATCACCTGGAAGATTTGTTAACCACCCCAGACTCTAGATCCTGAAGTGATTTCTATTCCCTAGATCTACAATGGGGCCAGATTTTTATGTTTGTTTTGGGGACAGGGTCTCATGTATCCCAGGCTGGCAATCTAGTGGATGACCTTGAACTTCTGAAGCTCTTGCCTTGCCTTCCCAATGCTGGATTTACAGACATGCTGCAACCACACCCAATGTATTCACTGCTGGAGGTTTGACACAGGACTTCCTGCATGCTAGGCAAGCCCTCTACCAACAGGCCTATAGTCCCAGCTAGGCTCAGCTTTTGAGACAGGGTCTCACCCTGACACTGACCTCAAAGTCAAGGCATTAGATGTAAGCAACCAAGCCTGGCCTTTTAACTTTTTTAAAAACACTATTTATGTTGAGACAGGGTGACACACACTTCAGGCTGGCCTCAAACTTGCTATGCAACTGAGGATGACTTTGAAGTTCTGATCTTCCTGCCACCTCCAGAGTGCTGGGATTATAGGCCTAGACCACCATGATGGTTTAGGCAGTGCTGGGGGTGGGGTGGGGGGAAGGTTCGAACTCAGCGCTTCCTCATGCTAAGCAAACCTACCAACTGAGCTATGTCCCCATCCCAACATCTGGCTTTCCTGGGGCTACGCTTTGCACGAGATCCTCAAGTGCTCCGAGGTCCTGGATGGCTCTAAACGAGACTCTCGTTCATCAATGCGCTGGTCCCTCCAGCCTGGACCCCCACTAAGGTGCACTTGTTTCATCATCCCCATCACTACCGTCAGTTTTGAAAGTCCCCCCCCCAATTAGTTCGTGGTCTGGGTCCTTGTCCCCAACCAGAACCTAAATCCCAGGAAGGCAAAAGCCCCCTTGGTTTGCAGCATCCTGCAGGACCGGAGCCTCGGCGCCCACGGCGGGCGGAGGCAGTAGCTGGACCCCGCAGCGCCCCTCGCAACCGCCCGGGCTCGCGTCCGAGGCTAGCCCTCACCCTTGCCCGCCGACCGCAGCCGGTCCCCGCCATTCCCGTCCTACCCCGGCCGGCTTCCTACCTCCCAGCGCTCCCGAGAGCTCAGCCGTTAAAATTCAAAGGTTCACCTTTTAAACCAGGAGTTAAACCTCTCCTCCGGAAGCTGATTGGCCAGAGTCTGAGCGACGCCGCTCTGTGATTGGCTCACCGTGAACGCGACATTCCGTGACGTATGGTGCGCTAAGCCGTCGGAGTCCGGAAGTAGTGAGCCAACGGCCTGTCTGTCCTGGAGCTGTTCTAGCGCCCGCGGTGCCCTCTAGGATCGGGCATTTGATCGTCAAACAACAACCCCTTGGGCTCAAGGTTGCCGCTTAGGAGATCAAGTCGGAGGAGGTGAACGATCGTCTCGAACGTGCCAGTAAGTAAGATGGCGAGAAGGGCACGCTTGAGAGTGAGAAAGAGCGGGGAGCTGCTCGATTGTTCCGCGCTCGGTTAAGCGCCCTGCGCGCATGCGCAGGGAGTGTGCGCGCCGAGCGATCGATCGGGCACGATTCGCGCCTCCATTTTTTTTTTTTTTTCTCGAAGAGAACTGGAGACTGCGAGCCTGATCAACGGGTACGGAGTCCGGGGACGCAGGGAGACCGGCCCGTGCGGCTGGCTGGGACCTGTAGTGGATCATGTGAAGGGCCGGGGCGCGGAGAGCATCGCGAGCGAGCGGGGAGCCCTGCTCCCGGGTTCCCAGAGGGCCTCCCGGCCCGTCCTGCCTGCGGCCCTGTGGCCTTACGCCCGATGGTCGCGGACGGCTGCGCCCTGCTGCCCCGGGAGCTGCCTAGCCTGGGTCAAGTCCTCCTGCCCGTGCCTCGGTGTGCCTGCGAATCAGAGGGGACATTTAAAGGACTTCCCTTAGCCTAAGTGGAACTTGAGTGGGGGCTCCAGCACTTTTGTTCTCGGTACTACTCGATCCAGCGCCCGGTGCCTCTGGCAGGAGTCAAGAGGTGTTAGTGTTAGATCAGTGGTTAAGCTCTGAGCTCCCACGTGGGCCGGCTTGGCCTCAGCTTACTTGGTTGGACCCGCTTTCTGGTACATTTTAGCTTGAGTGGTTGTTCCAATGTTTACACAAGGGTTGATTTATATACATTTGTTACCAGCGTAAGTACATGAATACATCGAATACTTTTCGTTTAGTGATCTAATGTTAATTAGATGCTTGGCGTAGTATCTGGCAGGTAGGCATGCATAATAAATGTTAACTGTCTCCTGCCACTATCGCTGTGTGTAAAAACGCCAGCTCTTAGGATTTTAACCACTGAGCCTACGGCGTCTGTCAGTCTAAGCAAGTACTCTGCTCCTTCCTCTGTCTCCAACCCTAACTTCTTTTTCCTCCTTTTGTTTTGAGACAAGGTCTCACTATGTATCTCTGGCTGGCCTGGAATTCGTTATTATGTAGACCAGGCTAACCTCAAACTCATAGAGATTGCGTACCTCTTTCCAAGTGCTTGGGTTAAAGGCCTACATTCTTTATTGCTCTCCCCCAGACTCTAAGCAAACATCTGTCCAAACATACACTACATACAAATATTGATGTATGACAAATTACCCAGGTTGAATCAGAAACTATCATCAGTTTCAAAGTTTCATTTGTTTATATATGTATGTCCGTGTATATGCCACATTGTGTGCAGGTGCCCAAGGAGGTCAGAAGAGGGTGAGAGAGCCCCTGGCTGAAGTTGGCAGGCAGTTGTGAACTGCCTGGTGTGGGTGCTAAGAACCGATTCAGGTCCTATGCAAGAACAGAATGCACTCCCAACTACCGAGCCATCTCTAGCCCATCATGGTGTAAATTTGGATCTTTCCAAAGCATTAACTTGTTTAGTTTTCATCACACTTTTGCCCTTATGTAGTCACTTACTACCTGATTAAGTTGTATAATTACAGTAACAAGCTCAGTTGCCTTAAAACTGGTTTTAAGAATGAGCATAGTAAGCAGGGTGTGGTGGTGTATGCCTGTATGCCTTTAATACCAGAAGTCGGGTGGCAGAGGTGGGGGGGCGGGGGGGAGAAGATCTCTGAGAGTTCCAGGCCACCTGGGACTACAGGAAGACCCTGTCTCAAAAAGACCAAGAAAAAAAAGGGCGAACATAGCAGTCACTAGTAAATTTGTAACTCAGCTGGTGAAAACAGTAAAATAGTCCATGTAGCCAACAAAATATCACCTGTCTTGCCTGTTGCAATGTTTATTTAGCCAATGTTTAATTAACAGAAGAATTGGAAGATTGAGGGATAGCAGTGACCAATGACCATTGCATGTGGGTAGTTTTCAGAGAAATGTTGGTGAGGGGGTTCTGCCTCTGTGAGATACCATTGTCTGAATAGTTTCTTGCGCCAAGCACCCAGCTCAGTGCTTTATGTGCCCTGTCTTGGCGAACCTTCAGTAATTTATGTAATGGGTGAGAAACATGAACTCAGAAAGAGGAGGTAACTATCCACAGATAATCAGTCAAGCTGAGATATAAGGGTTACATGATTAAGCCTGCCAAGGAGACCTGTTTTGCTCATGGTTGATTAGTGCCTCTGACTTTCACTGTCCACCTGTTTTCTCTCGAAGCAGGCAGAGAAACTGTCCTCTTCTGCAAGATGTACAGAACCAAAGTGGGCTTGAAGGATCGCCAGCAGCTCTACAAGCTGATCATTAGCCAGCTGCTCTATGACGGCTATATCAGCATTGCCAACGGCCTCATCAATGAAATCAAGCCCCAGTCGGTGTGTGCACCCTCAGAGCAGCTCTTGCATCTCATCAAGCTAGGTAAGCTGTGGGTGTAGGTCCCATAATGATATTTCAGATGCTGTCACAGGGCCGAGGTTTTCAAGATTACTCCTGTTTAGTTTCACCGGTGTGTGCCAAGTACAGTGCTGGATGCTGAGGGTACATGCAGTCCCGATGGGGAGGACATGTAAGCTGCTTCTGACGTGTTTGTGCACATCATCTGAGCACTGTATCTTCTTACTGACTCCCCTCAAGACTCAGCTCAGGGAAGCATCTCAGAGGCCTCACCCCTTCAAAGATAATTCTACTTTCTTCCTCGATCTACCATAACAGTCCCATTTCTTTCATAAGAAAAACTTCTTTATTATTTGAATTTTCACCTTCTTACCTCAACAGGACTTTGAATTACCCGACATATTTATTCACTTTGACCTGGTGATGCCACTTGTGAAACTTTGTCTTGGGGGAGGTGGGTAAATTAAAATGCTCTACAGTAAAGAATTGAAATTTTTTAAGTTTTACATATCCATAGAATTGAATGCAATAATATTGACAGACTTTTATTCTTTATGATTAAATGACCAAGTCACAAGTTATAGTACAGATTTGTTTCTGTTTTTAAAAATCAGAACAGCTGTGTGCATGGGAAGAGGGCCAGAAAATTCTTCACACACAATTCCGATTTCCCCTGTGCTAAGGAGTGTAGTGTTTACATGATGTGGGAACTTATTTTTAAATATGACACTTTTTCATCTGGGTTATTTGTTGCATTTTGCAACAGGACCTCATTGGGTAGCCCTGGGTGGCCTGGAACTCAGAGAGGTCCACTGCCTCTGCCTCCCAAGAGTGCTGGGAGTAAAGGTGTGTGTTCATGTGTGTGTGTGTGTGTGTGTGTGTGTGTGTGTGTGTGTGAGTGAACACCTCCAGCTTTTGTTTGATTTTGGGTTTGGTTTTTTTTTGTTTGTTTTGTTTTTGCTTTTTGGGTTTTTTTTGTTTTGTTTTGTTTTGTTTTTGTCTTTTTGAGACAGAGTCTCTTTGTAGCCCCAGCTGTCCTGGAACTCACTATGTAGACCAGGCTGGCCTCGAACTCACAAAGATCCACCTGCCTCTGCCTCCCAAGTGCTGGGATTAAAGGCGTGCGCCACCACGCCTGGCATTGACTTTGTTTTTGAGATCGGGTTTCTTAGACTCCCTGGCTACCCTTAAACTCATTATGTAAGTAAGGATGGTCTTGAACTTCTCAGCCTCAGCCTCCCAAGCCCTGGGGTCATGGGGTGTGCCACTACATTCAGCAAACATTCTTAACAGACTTCATTGACTTAAGTATCACATTCCTTCTAAAGTACTTCACTGGTAGTAACAGTGTAGCCGATCAATGGGCATCACAGCTGCCGCTAACCGTCACAGCCTTAACTATGTTAAAATTCAGGGCTAGGAGTGTGTAGCTCAATGGTAGGGCATTTACCTGGCATGTGTGAGGCCCCGGGCTCAGTCCCTGGCACCATAGAACAAATGAAGCGTTAAGACTTGGAATGAGGAAAATGGATAGCTGCAGAACTGAGGTTTTGTACTGCATTTTATAGTTGTTATTAAAGTAGTAAACTGACTGGCCGTGGGCCCTTCTAGCAGCCCACACTGCCTGCTGCAGTGGTGCCTTAGATGGCATAGACAAGACCCACTGTTTGCCAAGCACTCCAAGGAGTTCTAGGCCGACGTTGGTGGGCATCGTCTTGGTGCTTAACGCTTCTTCGTGCTTTTAATTGTGGTTCCTTCAGGGATGGAGAACGATGACACTGCAGTTCAGTATGCGATTGGTCGTTCCGACACAGTTGCCCCTGGCACAGGGATTGACCTGGAGTTTGATGCTGATGTCCAGACAATGTCCCCTGAGGCTTCTGAGTATGAAACATGCTATGTCACGTCGCACAAAGGCCCATGCCGTGTGGCTACTTACAGCAGAGATGGGCAGTTAATAGCCACAGGATCTGCTGATGCTTCTATAAAGATACTTGACACAGAAAGAATGTTGGCCAAAAGTGCCATGCCGATTGAGGTAATGTGCCCGCCTACTGGAGGTGAGGGTGTGTTCCCGCCAGCTCTGTGGCCTGGGACTCGGTACTCCTGTGCCTTGAGCATCTCTCCTTTTCTTGTTGGTCTAGGTCATGATGAATGAGACTGCACAGCAGAACATGGAGAACCACCCAGTGATTCGAACTCTTTATGACCACGTGGATGAAGTCACGTGTCTCGCTTTCCACCCAACAGAACAGATCCTGGCCTCTGGCTCAAGGGATTATACACTTAAATTGTTTGATTATTCCAAACCATCTGCAAAAAGAGCCTTCAAATACATTCAGGTTAGAAGTACCAGAAGAGAGCTTTACTTTTTTCTTAGATGCAGTAGTGATGACTATTTTTTCAAAGTTGTCTTCATGATTTCTGATTACTGGATAGAGTAAGAGTCAGCACCCAGGACCTGCCCTAGAGGGCACTCGGACCACACTCCAGTGGCACCTGGTTCACTGCTGTCAGGTGACTACTGCTGGTCATAGTTCCTGAGACCAGGGTTCACGGTCCACATATCACTCTTTCAGTTCTGCAGATGGGCCAGCATGGCTCCTGCTGAAATCCAAGTACTCAGAAGGATGGGCAGGAGGGTGGCAGTTACAAATTCAAGGCCAACTTCTGTGCTGCCTAGTGAATTCCTGGCCAGTCTAGGCTATAAAGTGAGCTCCTATCTCAAAAATAAAGGGATGGGGGCGGGCACTGAAGGTGTTTACTAAAAACAAAACTGCTGCACAGTGGCACATGCACTCTTGGAAGGCAGAAGCCAGCAGGCAGATCTCTGTGAATTGGAGGCCAAGGACTGAGGCCATAGCTTGTGGGAGGTGGAGCACTTACCTCACTTGCATGACACTATAGGGTCAAATCCAGTACTGAAAAACCAAAATCAAACTGCCTTTCCTAAAAGTGTAACTTGTAAGGAAAAAAGGCGTGTAATTGACACTGTCCATGTATATTTAAAGAGTGCTGCTTTGTGTCCCGCCTTGGCTGTGTGTTGCAGAGATGCTGTTTTCTCAGTGGCTTCCGTCCTTCACTAATTCACCTTTTCCTCAGTATTCGCTGCCCTTGAGCAGATTTAAAAGCTGTTCTTTATCTTTCCTGACTGCAGGAATGTGTCCTCCATTAATCCATTTCTGAGACTCTGTTCTGACCATATTCATTTGCAAATGAAGGCCTTGGCTGTGTCTTTTAGGAATATCTAACCAGTAAATAGTTTTGGAAATCTCTTCTTTTAAAAAAAAAAAAAAAAAATCGTTTTCCTGTATTCCAGGAAGTGCTTGTGTCTCCTGTGTGGTCTGATCTTGTATGGTTCTTTGCTTCGGTCAGATCCTTTCCACACTTCTGGGTCTCTGGGTCTAAGTGTTTACCCATTGATCACTTGCTTGATGTCCTGTCCCAACAGGAAGCTGAAATGCTCCGCTCCATCTCGTTTCACCCTTCTGGAGACTTCATCTTGGTTGGAACGCAGCACCCTACACTCCGCCTCTATGATATCAACACCTTCCAGTGCTTTGTCTCTTGCAATCCTCAAGACCAACACACCGATGCCCTATGTTCCGTCAGTTACAATCCTAGTGCCAATATGTACGTAACTGGTAGCAAGGACGGCTGCATCAAATTATGGGATGGTGTTTCAAACCGCTGCATCACAACCTTCGAGAAAGCCCATGACGGCGCCGAGGTCTGTTCCGCCATCTTTTCCAAGAATTCTAAGTACATTCTTTCAAGTGGAAAAGACTCTGTAGCTAAACTTTGGGAAATATCAACAGGACGGACGCTGGTCAGATACACAGGTATGTGAGGGGTTGGTGCTAATGTTTCTGGGGATCTTGCCGTTTCCTCATCACAGGTCTTCACAGTAGAGCAACATGTTAAATCTCTTAAGTGGGTCAGGGTAGATTTTGCCACTAAGTGTTTGATGTTAAGTCATGGGGCCAAAATTATAACTCAGTGGTAAAGCTCTTGACTGTCACATGCAGAACCCTGAAGTCAATCCCTAGCCCTGTTGAAAAAAGAAAAAAGTTCATTGAACCAGAGCCACAGTTAGTGAGAGGGAGAGCTGGAAATAGAGTTGGTCCCTCAACTTTTATCTTCTCAGCACATTATGGCTTAGATAGACTAGGTCTGAATTCTATGCAGGTAACATTTGAGAACCTGGTTCATTCGTTTATAGGCAGATGGCTCACACTCTTCCCTCAAAAACTCAAAACACAGGCCAAAGAAAAGCCTTAGCACCTCTCTGGGAATGCACGGACTGGGAGCAAAGCATCCGGGGTAGTTCTTGTCCCATTCCTAGGAGAGCAGAAGTGCCCACCCCAAAGAGACCCGACAGTGTCATGAGTCCAGATATGAAGTAGGGTCAGCAGATAGAAAAGCAGGAAGTGTGTGTGGAGGAGGCAAATAGATCACTTCTCCCATTGGTGCTGGTCTCTAGTTGGTACCAGTTGTGCCCGTGAGCTTCTGTGATTAATCCATTTAAATATGTCCCAGCACCAGAGATCAGGGTTGGGGTCCAGTTACGGTGAGTGCTCTGGAAATGCTCTGCTGTATTTTTCTGTTCCTATAGCAGCCAGGACCACTGTTAGGTAGAGAATGTCCAGAAATTCCACTGCCTGCCTTCTCTGAGATGTGTTTGTGTCCCACACCAAACACGTCGGCACCATGGTTCTTAGTGCTCACAGGAAGTTGGTATGTAGGGCTGTCTGTGAATTAGCATTGGATAGGAGATTGAAAAGATGGTGATGTGCAGGCCACTAGGTGCAGCACAGCTCTCTGAGATGTGTCTCCTTGTGAAGGGTGGCCACTGCCCTAATGGCTCCTGTATGTAGTGCACACCAGTTACCAAAAGAGCCACTTTTGTCATAATTCTTGGTAACTGTGATATTTTATGTGAAGTCATTTTGGAAACTATCTCACAAACTGCGTGCCCATCGAAAGAAGATGTGAAGGTGACCAGAGTTAACATGGAATGTTCCCTCACAAACTATAGCCAGGCTGCTGGCAGGAACTTAGACTTTGTGACATCAGGTAGGTTGACTAGCTTATTTTAGTGGAGAATTGAAATTTTGTTTTTTCTGAATGAGTTTACAGACACACAAGTCAAGACCCTGCTAGTCAGCATGTCAAGGTTTCCATTCTGGTTTTAAGGGTCACTAAGAATGTGAAGTGGTCTTGAAGTAATGACAGAAAAGGGAAAATTCTCAAGAGAATGTGCTGTTTAACATTAAACAGTTAAAATGCTGAACATCAGACATTTACGTGGACAGGTGAATCTACAAACAGACATAAATAAGAAAACGATGATAGTGGTTCAGGATACTGGCTGTTTCTACAAAGGGCCCGGGTTCAGATCCCAGTGCCTCATGGTGGCTCATAGCCATCCCTAACTTACAGTCACAGGGGATCTGACACCTGGACTCCATGGGCACCAGGCATGCACGTGGTGCACATTACATACATGCAAGTGAGGCACTCATACACAAAGGTTAAGAATATTTTGGGGAAAAGATGAGCCCAAGTTTGACAGGAGAAGCCATAGCTTACTGCATTTTATAAAAACACCCAGCAAGTTAAAGATGAGTGGCTCTTCCATAGGCCCCAGAAGTGGAGCTGGGAGTATCTTTTTGACTCAGCAAACTTCAGTCACTTAAAAGATTGTGTTATCATATAGAAGAAAATTTGAAGGCATCAGCACAATTTATCGATATGTCATTTGGTAAATTCATAAATTCTAAATTTTTCAAATTTCTCAAAAGTAATTTGGTGTCATATGAGAAATTTAAACGTGTGGTTTTTGTCAGACTGTATGCACACTTAGAGACTCAGCACAGAGGATAATCAAGCACACACCCGCACGCATCTGTGCCGACATCTGTCAGTGAAAGTTAGGAACTGGCACACACTCGAAAAGCAAGTGAGGAACCAGCATGCATCCCACAGCCTTGAGTGAGTCTGTGGTGTCCATGGGCAGCACCTGGCCTCCGGGTTATTGGCGGCGGCATCTGCACTCTGTACAGCTCCAGTGTGTCTTTAATCCTCACAGCACCCTCGTGGGGTGGGTTCCAAAAGGACACTTGCTGGACAGGTGAGAGGGAAGGCTTATGAGTAGTAGGTAATCTGCCTAAGGTCTCCTCCTAGTAAGTGCAGAATTCCCCCTGACCGTGAAGGTGTCTCATCACTAGCGTGTTCCTGTTGCACACCTTTACTGCACGATCTTGAATGAAAATAGTGCATGGCGTTCTGTGACCAGAGTGAGTGTGCAGCTCATAGGTGTTGGGAAGGGTATCTGCGAAATACAGACTGTATCATCTTGGTGGTGAGGTCACCTGACAGCTTTAATTGTATACATTATGTGGTGTTTTAAACATACAGTGTATTCTGTTGTCATGAGAAGGTAAAGTTTCCATTTGGAAGGTGGAAGGTGGGTGTTCCTGTGCTTTGTTCTGGTAATTTTGACTCTAGGAGTCTAATCCTAAGAAAATAAACTGTACTTGCAAAGGACGTTTGCATAGCATCATCCGTAGTTGACACAACCCAGTGTCCAGCAGCAGAGACTCTGGATAAGCAGTGGTGCTTCTAGCAGCCCCTGGAGAAGACGCATCCACAGGTGGGAAACCTGGCAGCAGTTTTATGGGTTTTGTTCTTTGGCTTTGTTTGTTTGTTTCTTTGTGGTTTTATTTTTGAGACAGGGTCTCCCTGTAGCCCCAGCTGGCCTGGAACTGGCTAGATAGACCAAGCTGGCCTCTGCCTCCCGGGTGCTGGGATTAAAGGCGTGTGCTACCACACCCAGCAGTTTGGGATTTTTAAGCCTGGAAGGACATGAGAATATGAACAGAGCTGCTGCAGGTGCCGGGCCTGGGCCTGGTTTGCTTTTTCATTTTTGTGCATTTTTAGCTTCCAGAGTTAATGCTGTGTATATCATTTGACCTGTTTTAAGAAAGCAGTTCTTGGGGCTGGAGAGATGGCTCACTGGTTGAGAACACTGACTGTTCTTGCAGAAGACCTGGGTTTGAATCCCAGCACCCACATGGCAGCTAACAACTGTCTGTAACTCCAGTTCCAGGGGATCCGGCAGCCTCTTCTGTCCTCCACAGGCATTGCACAACACGGGTGCACTTACCTACATGCAGGCATAACACTCGTACATATATGTGTATAAAAGAAAGCTGTTCTTGTAGCAAAAGGGTTAGTAGCAACAGTGCTAGAACATTCTGAGCCTGAGGCTGAACTTGGAAGCTCTCCCTTGGTCCACAGGCCCTTAACATGTTGGTTTCTGTGGCAGGTGCGGGCCTGAGCGGACGGCAGGTGCACCGGACACAGGCTGTGTTCAACCACACTGAGGACTATATTTTGCTGCCCGATGAAAGGACCATCAGCCTCTGTTGCTGGGACTCTCGGACAGCCGAGCGCAGGAACCTGCTGTCCCTAGGCCACAACAATATCGTGCGCTGCATCGTGCACTCCCCCACCAACCCTGGCTTCATGACGTGCAGCGATGACTTCCGAGCAAGGTTCTGGTACCGGAGGTCCACCACTGACTGAGCCGCCCTAACTCGTCACACAGGAGTCTTCTCAAGGACTCTGCTCTCCTCGTGTCCTGCCACTGACTGCAGTAGTGATCATACCATCGGCAAGCTGCAGGATTTGTGTACGGAAGCTCTTTTTTTACCTTGATGTAGAATCATGGTGGGAAAAGTTGGAAACAGATCTGTCTGTGCGTTCGCCCCATGCACACTGTCACTGTGATTTCCACTGGCTTTGTAAGTATGGGGCTTGCCATGTCTTTGACTCTTGGTCCTTGAGGAAGGATGGAGCATTAGAGTGCTTTGTAGGTCCGGGGGGTCTATCACAAGGATGTCCATTTGGCTCTTTTGTCACCTCGAGCCTGTCCTGCCCTCTGTGTTTCCTTTCCAGATTGCATTTGTCACATGGTGGCTCTGAAAACCTAGGGGTTTGTGCCATATGGAATCACTTTGGAGAGTCTCCCAATTCTGTCCTTAAGATGACATCATTCTGGAATAAAGCTCAGATCTGTACTTTCTCTGTTTTCTTCTTCCCATCAGTAAAGGTGGCAGCCAGTTTGCCTAAGTGTCCCCAGGATCCCTCTCTGCGAGTCCCACCTTCTGCAGAGGCTTCTCAGCACTATCAGTGCTTAGCCTTAGTGCTAGTGAATCCGCCTAATAAGATAGGAATCAGGCATAGTGGCTCCGCCTAGAATCCCAGCAGTGGGAGGTGGAGGCAGGAGGATCAGGAGTCAAGACCTGCCTTGGCTACATAGCAAGTCTGAGGCCAGCCCTGAACTACACGAGACCCTGTCTCAAAAAAAACAAACGAAACAGAGGTGGTAATGATTCAGTGGGACACAATCAAAAATATGTCCCAGGAAGCAAAACACAGCGTTTGTTATGACCCGACTGTGCTTTTCTTCATGAATGGCCATCTCGCCTGACAGTAACTTCCTGTGGATGTGCCTGGGAGCTGCATTCTTGAAAAATTGGTGCCGTTGACCACCTGGTACATTTTCTTTGTCTTGATTTGGAAGCTAGAGTATTTCTCTGGGCTTAGTTGCACATAGGTGGGTGGCCCCGCACTCCTTTACAAAAAATCCACTTTCTGTGTCCCAAAGAAAAATACCTCAGGATCTGGGCAGAAGTACCTAGAAAAAGCCTCTGAGATCATTATTAGAAGTAGTGACTAGGCTGCAGTAAAGGTCATGGCTGTGTGCTGTGGGACTTTCTGCACAAGCATTTGCCCAGCCCTCCCCTTGAGGTCATGCTAACCCTTGCTCTGTGAAGCAGTTTTACGTGCTCTGCGTACATCATGTCACAGGGTTGGGACTTGCATTCCCAAAGTGATATTTTTGTGTCCATGGTAAGTATAAACAGACTTACTTTGCATCCTGATTCTCTAGTATTTGAACTTGGCCACCTGGGGGTGCTAATCTTACAAGATTAAAAGAAAGCTACCGAATAGGATCAAAGCTAACCAGTTGTACCAATAATAATAAATCACCAGGCAAGCACCCCCCTTCTCTGGCTTCCCTGTTTAAACTCTGAGGCTGCCTGCTACCTCTGTCTTCCCCACCGCCTCCGTGCTCCCCTCTGCACTCCACACAGGCTGTGGGAGATCTTCCCAGTGTGAATTAAAATAACTGGTCTCAACAGTGACTCTGTAGTTTCAGGACTGACATTTACAAGATAACCTGCTTTTCTGTGTTTATAAAATAGGTTCCTCCCCTCTTTCTCCATTTTAAAAGCCACATTCATGCTTTGAGCTGGTGTCCATGCCAAGAACACCGCAGATTTGGTGTCATGTCCCACTAACTGTACCATATAACACCCTGGCATTTGAATGATGGATTTATGGTTGTAGTGATAGCATATACTTCCTATGTCATTTTTTTTTTAAAGATGTGTGATTTCTAAAATAAAATTTTTATACATACATAATTTCAAGCCAGTTTGTGTTTTTGGAGCTTGCTGTGAGCCTTGTCATGAGTGAACATCAGTTCTCAAGTAGTGATGGTGACTGGCATGTTTCACAGCTTGGCTTGTTCTAGAAGTGTCTATCGCTGGGCCCCATTAGCTCTGTCTTTGCTCTGTGCTCTGCACCGAAAGAACTCCAGCGTGATTCGCTTAATTTGGATCACTTCGATCCAAAGTGGCCCCTGTACTTTGGTTTTCTTGAGAAAAGGTAATGTGAGACAGACTGGTCTCCATTCCAACATGTGCTTGGCAGGTAATGGGGCTGGTCATTTGTCCTGAGCTGTGCAGTCTCCAGCAGGCACATGGAGTCTAGTTTCTGTCTAGTGCCTGGTGATGGGCTCCGGCGTGCTCTTACAGGGGAGACGTTTCTGAAAACAGGACAAATGAAACACCCTGATACTCCAGTAAAAATATGAGTCAAATCTATTTTTAAGCTCTAAATAACAAGAAAGCAAGAGAATTCCTGAGACAGAAACAAGAAGACAAATCCAGAGGATTGGCAGAGTGCTCAAGCCAGCAGCGGGGCCGGGATGGCTGCTGTTCTTTGTCACCTGAGAGTTTCTGAGCAGAAACCAAAGCTCTGAGCCTCATGGGCTGGGAACTTGGAGCAGGACCCAGAAAGAAAATGAAGATTCAAAGGAAGGCAAAGATTTTTAAAATAACAAAAAAAAGAATCCAGAAAGAAAGCCTGGGATTCAGGGTGTCCCTCCCGCCCTGTGAAAGGTGAGCTTGACAGACATCCACACCCTGCACTGGCTCAGGAGTTTCCTGGGAGAAAGAATGGAATGTTGGAGAGGGGAAGGTCTTCTCTGAGAGTCCGATGCACAGGCCGTCCCTCAAGTACAAAACTGTGGCGAGAAAACCAAGTGGGGAATTTAAAGGCATCTCCAGCTGGTAAACAGTGGAAGCCAGCACAAACCCTCCATGGAAGAACACATGGGAACCCCAGTCCTCACATCTGGTTACAGGATCATGAGCTCACTGTCAGATGTGCAAGGATCTTGCAAACCACAATGATGGCAGCCAGTAAAAACAGACCCACACTTAGAGTTGCCCTTGCAGAACATACACGTGTGTAGAGTATTCCGAAAGAGCTGAGGCTAAGTGAACTGGGGCCTGAGGATGGAGCTCAGTAGTGTGCCTAAGTGGCACAAAGCCCTGGGTTCCGTTCCTAGGAGGATATGAACCAGGTGTGGTGGCACATGGCTGCAATCCCAGTGATCAGGAGGGTGGCAGCCAGAGGATCAGAAGTCATCCTCAGCTATAATGAGTTTGAGGCCAGCCTGGGATAGAAGAGGTGCTGTCTCAAGAAAGACAGTGCTTTAATCCCAGCACTTGGGAGGTTGAGGTGGTAATCCTGTTTCAGCAAAGGAAAGCTGGGCGTGGTGGTGCACGCCTTTAGTCCCAGCACTCAGGAGGCAGAGTCAAGAGGTTCTCTGTGAGTTCAAGGCCGGCCTGGTCTACATAGTGAGTTCTAGGCCAGCTGGGGCTACAGGGAGACCCTGTCTCGGGAAAAAAACAAAAAACAAAAAAACAAAACCCAAATGGACCGAACAAGGGAAAATCTCCCTCTACCACGCCCTTCTGAAGCTGCTTTCCCAGCGGCTCCTGGCCAGGTGACCACGCCCCCCCCCCCCCCGCCCCCATGACAATGACTTGCCTGTGGCATCACTTTCTGCCCTGGCTTTTCTTGTTTAGCCTTTTTCTCTAGCTTCCTGACCCCTTTCTACACTCTGCAGGGTTTGTCCATCTTTTTTTGTTTTTCTAATTCTTGCTCTGATTCCTTTTTACCCTCAGCTAGTTCCCCTGTGTCATTCCTACACAGGGTATCCGGTTTCTTAGTAATGGATGTGATTCCACTCTGACCCTGCATAGCTGTCTTTTAAAAGACTTATGTATTGGATGCACATATATGTGTCTGAGTGTATGCTCACATGTATGAAGGTGCCTGTGAGGATGCCGGAAGAGGGCATCAGATCTCCTGGAGCTGGAGCTATAGCATTTGTGAACCATCGACATGGATGCTGGGAGCTGAACTCGTCCTCATGACTGAGCAGCAAGTGCTCTTGACCACTGAGTCGTCTCTCCAGTTTTTACGAATTTTCTCCACAAGATTAAAATATGATAATCTCAGATGATCGCGCACACGTGTGTGTGTATGTGTGTGTGTGTGTGTGTTGCACACATGCCATGACACGTGTGGAGGTCAGAGGACAGCTTTCAGAAGTCTGTTTTTTTCCTTCCATGATGGGTTCCAGGGATCAAGCCCCCAAGAGTTTTATTTTCTGATCTAGGCTGACTTCTCTAGAAAATATGGCATGTACATTATAGCATTATAAAGCTGGGCATGGTGGCACATGCCTTTAATCCCAGCAGTTGGGAGGCAGAGGCAGGTGGCTCTCTGTGAGATCAAGGCCAGCCTGGTCTACATTGTGAGTTCCAGGCCAGCTGGGGCTACAGGGAGACCTTGTCTCAAAAATAAAAACAAACAAACAAACAAAAAACAGCATTATAGTTATGCTATGAACATGAAACAGCCTTCAATATGAGGAAGGATGATCACCAGGAACGTGTAACCTCACACATCTGAGAGTGAGCTCATGATCCTGTAACCAGATGTGAGGACTGGAGTTCCCATGTGTTCTTCCATGGAGGGTTTGTGCTGGCTTCTACTGTTTATCAGCTGGAGATGCCTTTAAATTCCCTACTTGGTTTTCTCCCTGCAGTTTAGTGTTTGAGGGACGGCCTGTGCCTCGGACTCTCAGAGAAGACCTTCCCCTCTCCAACATTCCATTCTTCCTCCCAGGAAACTCCTGAGCCAGTGCAGGGTGTGGATGTCTGTCAAGCTCACCTTTCACAGGGCGGGAGGGACACCTTGAATCCCAGGAACTGACTGAACTTGAACTTCTGTGGAGTCTCCCTCAAGTTCAGATCCGCCAGGCTTGAGCAAATTTGTCCTTTTCACTGTTGGGGAAAGTTTTGTTTTTTATTTGTTTTAGACACAGGGTCTTTTTTATGATTTTTTTAAAGTTTTCGCACAAGTGTATCTGCCGTATGTTAGACACACTCCCCGCCTCCCCCAGCCCTACCTTTTGTCATCTTCCCTTGTGCCCCTTCATCCACTTACACAGTGTTTCCTCTTTCATTGTGTTATGTGTGTGCATGATTTTATGTCTATGTATAACCAAAACACAGGATTTGCCTTTCTGAGACTGTCACAATTGACCTCTGTCAATCCATTTTCCCACAAATGACATAACTTTATTCTTCATTGTGACAGAAAAGAATTCACTATGTGCCTAGACCACATTTTCCTTATCCCTTCCTCTGTGGTTGGACACCTGGGCGGGTTCTGAGATTCAGCGCCCATGGATAGTGTTGCAGTGAGCCTTGATGTGGAGGTGTCTCTGTGCTTTGCTGACTTGGAATAACTTTGGGTAAATGCCCAGGAGTGGTTTAGCTGGGTCATATGGAAGAGTTGTAGTGTTCTGGTTTTAGTTCGTTAAATTCAGTTTTTTGAGACTGCTCCATACTGACTCCCCTAGTGGTCGGACTGTGTTTCCACCTGCAGTGCACATGCACTTACTTTAGCACATCCTTGCCAGCATTTGTGATTTATTTTCTTGATGACTGTCCTAACATGAAGTCTCACTAGCTTTGAGTTGCATTTCTCAGTGGGTAGGGATGCTGAACAGTTTTTCATGTTTGCTGGTCATTTGTTTGTTGTTGTTTGGGCTTTTTTTTTTTTTTTGTCTTTTTGAGACAAGGTCTTCCTGTAGCCACAGCTGGCCTGGATTCGCTAATGGAGACCAAACTGGCCTCCAA